GCTAATTGATGGGTTACGCCCTGTCAAAGAGTTTATTCTCATCCTTCGCCGCCTACACAGGGAAGAATCTTTCCTCCATCCTTACCCGCGGAATATGAGATGCTGGTCCCGTATTGTGGCCGTTGTGCTGGGTGAGACAAACCAAAAGGCTTGGCTGCATTCTTGTCTCTTTGGCGTTTTCGAAGGCTGGCAGGCTGTTGGAGAATCAGGGAAGGATGTCCACACACCTCCGAGACATTCAATGCAGACAAACAGGTCCTTTCCAACGGCTGGTGGGCCATGTATCGTGGCCGCAGAAGCCGCCAGGCTTAGGTTAGACTACATACTTGCACCGCGTAGGGAAGGTGATAGACATGTTACATACGCGATCCGTTCTTCTGTACAGTACACACTAGCTCTTCTCAGAGAACAAGAAAGCCATAAGCTGAACTACCTATATTGGGTATCCTTCAGTTCAATGTCATTGTTGCCCTGTGATGCAGGCTTCTCTAAGGTTGACACACTCATAGCTTCCTTGCCTCAATTTCGTTCAATTCCTTGAGGTTGATAGTCCCCTGCTAGATAATTTATACGCACGGAGCTGGTTCAGGCCATGCCGTTGCTCATCTTTTGAGTGTGAGTGGACGAGGATCGATCGTGGAGTCGTGACGTGGCTTGTTGCGTATGTCGTTGGGACGTGCGTACATCACATACGCCCATCCACATATGGACGCAAAAGTTCCCTCATCGGAAACACCCTTGGCTTCTGTCCTTCCAAATCAGTGATATCGCTTGGACACATGCAGCACTGACCCTACACTTCTGCCGTCATAACGGCAGTTCGTAAGTGCCCTGTGAGGAAAAGTCTTGCAAAGGACTCCCTCTTCCCCTTCTTTCGGGACCATACAGCCCTAGGCTTCGATAGTGAGCATTGCTTGCTGCATGTATGTCTCTCATTTATCGAGGGCCGGCCTCGGACTTGAGCCTCAGTGGCCTTGAGTAGGCGGCAATGCCCCCCAGCAGACACCTTGGAGTCCTTCCCGACCTGCAATTCACCATTATCCTTCCCGTATGCACTCCTAGAGAGGCATTTGGTTTCAGGCGTGGCCCATCCGGTGCTCATCCGTTTTGGTTGACCCGCATGATGTATGGAAACGCGCGTCTGATCCTGCCTTGCCTTGATCAAGACGGGATAAGGATAGAGAGGCGTCCCCAGGAGAGAAGGGCCAGGATTGAGAGGTATATCGGACATGATTATCTGGAATCCCGATGATCTTCCTAGCTCTTATGGACATAGGAATGACGTCGGCTGAACTAGGAAGCCGGGCGTGTTCACATCCAGCTGTCCTCCTCGATGCCGTTGATACGTACTAGCAATAGATTCCTTCTCCGGCCACGATGAAGTAGACAAGCAACAAATAACGCACGTCTCAGTTTTTTTTTTCTCGATACATCAACACACTTTCGATATGAACTCCTTGGAACTTTCCCTATGGGCGAGTGTATCATATCAAATTCCATGGACACAGGCTCTCTGTACTTCGTCGAATGGCCAATCCAAGGGGCCGTTCAGAGCATATCCATGATAGGCCATCTTCTTCACCCATCGCACCAGTATCGGCATTCTCTTTTCCGAGCCCTCCCCTCCATAAAATTGCTCAAGCAAGCATCTGCACACGACCAGCAGCCGACGTCTCTCATCCACTCAATTGGAACTTGGTGATCCCGGTCCGTCTTCCGAGCCCATTACCGTGTCTTACTTCAGAGCTGCTTCTTCTTTAACGGCTTCTCTGTCCCGAGTTCCTTTTGAGGGAAGGAGGCCAAACAAGACCGGTCTGCTGACCAAAGGCCATAAAGTTGTGTATCAACGTGCTACTGCATTCTCCCAAGGTAGTCGGTGGGATTGCTTCCAGCCCTAATTGCACTTCCAGAAGAGATCAAGCCAAACATCAACTGGGACTTCCTCAGATCCTGATCCAAGACTTGGACGGATAGATAGGGGAAGACTTGGTGGGTGTCACTGGCGCTGTCTCACTTCTTTGTCGCCTAGTAACCGGTTCATCATCATTGGTACACCCTCGCACGGATCTTGTTTGCCGTTCCTTCACTATTCCTTCTAGTCCCTCATTTGCCTGCCATCCTCACCACACTGCTGCTGCCATGGTAACATCCTGACCGATCCAACCTATATCTGGCCTTCTCTGTCGTCTCCCCTCCATCTCCGCGTGGACAGCCAACCGGGTATCTTTCCTGTTTTCCAACCTGTTCTGCTTTGTCATCAGACCAGGCTGCAAGTGCAAAAGGAATAGCTCCGGTGGAGAAGTAGGATGTCTCATATCCTCATGACCCTCAAGCTCACAATAAGATGATAGAACGCAGAACAGAATGCCATTTTTCCTTATCATGGAGGTATACACTGCAAGGTAGCAAGTTGCCTACCGCAGACTGGTCACAAGGAAGCAGGGCATCATAGTCTTGAACATTGCGACTTACCTGCTGACCTACCAATGTCGATCCCCCCCCCCTCCCCCCCAAAAAACCAACCCAACTAGCTCTTGCACCAATAACCCCTCATACCAAGATTGCTTCTGCGTGTGTTGTTGAGAGAGAATAAAAGAATGAATCGAGACAGGGTATGGGTTGAGGCCCAAAATCATACTAACCCTCGGGGATGAGACTGCATACACTACATCATGAGCCGGAGTTGATTTGTAGAATGGCTGCAGAGAGGTGTAAGGTTTCTCGGAGTTGACTACGTATAGTTCCATGGTTTCGTTCAGTGTCTCTAACCCAAGCCACTAGCTTAATGATGTGACTACATGGATATGATTTGATAGATGCAACCTTCTTTATTTTGTTCGACATCTCTCGAAAGAGTTAAGGAATTCTGAAAGAGAACAAAAAAAGAGACAAAGACAGCCCGCATCTACCCAAGATAGACATTCTGCGGAATGTTGACCCAGTTGGCAAGAGACGGGATGACACGCATTGCATCACTTGGATCTTTCGGCATCCCCTTCGCTTCCAGACATGCAGCACACCAAGACAGCACTCGAAGGGTTCGAAGAGAGACGACCGAGGTGAGTGTGATCTCCTTGGCATCCAAGGCGGATAAGAAAATGGGATAATTCCCGTTTTTGTACGACTGTGTTGGGCTGTTGTTCCGAATCACTAAGTCTTGGGTACCCTGGCACTGAGTGTTTCGAACCCAGGCCTGGGACCAGGTCAGGTCCCTACTGTGGTTGGACAGGGAAGGAAATTTGCGCTTCCAACATATCGCAGCTGAACCGATATGGGCCTGCCAGCCCTCTGCAATGAGAAGGAAACCCACAGGTGGCTGGCAGAATCCTTGATGGGAATATCTGAATGTAATGTCCTGAATCCATCCTTCGACTTTTGACAAACGGCGACACCAATCAAAGCTCCACACATCGCTTTGCCTTAGCGGATTACAGAGGGAAACGGTTGGCGAAGGGTTAGGGTTCAAAATATGTATGAATCAAACATGCTCTTTTTTCCTGATGAGCATAATCATTCTTTAGCAAGGCCATGTTCAAAGTTGTAACAGAAGCATAACGCTGGTAGCAGCGTGAGAAACATGTTTGACTCGCGAGGTCCGTTGCTTGAGTGGACTACAGAGTTTAGGGATCTATGGAAGAAGTTTGGACCCTTAGGACGAACAGGCAGTCCGTCCTAAGCTGTAGCTCTGCCGCGGAAGCTCATTGTTTATGGTGAAGGCCGAGCTCTCAAATGAAACAAGGAACGAGATTACTTAACCGCTGCATATAAACTTTCCTTTGTTGAGCCCATCGTTTGCACTTGTGATGTTTAGCATTGAGCTGGACGAAGCTCTTGTGTGATCAACGACGGCTTCAAGGGAATGAAGAATGCGAGAAGTGGGTGGGTACATCCAATTGAGATGCCGGTGCTAGAGCAGGCCCTAGACGTTGTTGAGACAACTTCAACTTGGAGTCTAGAGAATGCTACCGACTTCGCCCAACCCGTCCGTCCGTTGGGGGTTTGCTATCATGATATCTGCTCAAGAAACCCAAGTACCATGTTCCCAGTCCCAGACTAGGAGCTGAGATTTCTGACGAAGCCAGTGATTACCGTAAAGCGTGTGAAACTCATAAACAAGTCAAATGGTGTTTAGATGGGTGGTGGACAGGTAGTTGATATCCAAACTATGCCGCCGAAGCCCAAGAGTATGCGTCCGAATCCGTCAAAGTTCGCTTGCCAGTCATGTTATATGCCAAAACAACCCCGTTTTGCCTGAGAGAACCCGGACCCCCGACCATCCCACTGAGATCAAAGACTAAGCTTTATGCTAGACCAAAACCATTGCCAGGTTAAGCTGGATCCATGCCTTACCGTACGGAGGGAGCTAATGAAACTCAAAACACTACCATCCAACCATTGGCGTCATCACTAGCACATGCTAGTTCAGTCCAAAGGGGGGGGGTGATACATGTTGAATATTCTCTCCGGAGCAATAGCACACCAGAGATTAAATAAGTAAAGCAGCTTTTAGTGATAGGTATCCCTCCAGTAAAGAATAGCGAAGAAGAAAACAAAAGAAAATGAGCCAGGCTGGATGAGTAAGCCACTTATCCAGCACAAGCCGTCCAGAAAAAAACCGTCTTGCTAACAAGACAACAATAACCCGTACCGACTCAAGGGTCAAGTACGAAACATGACAAGGACATAAAGACAAAATAAGCAAGTCTAAGCCCCATCCCAGCCCAGTTCAACCCAATGTTATAACCCATAGATAATAAGATCTGGAGAAACACGCCGGCACTGCCCAGCCAACCCATTACCCATCCATTCCAATAAGATCCCACTGCTAAAGAACCTCATAACTCAACCCTCGTCATCAGCGGCCACCATCTCTGGTTCATTACTGCCTCAACCCACAGCCGCCAACTAATTCCGTTTGATCAGCCTGTCATCCCCTTACAGGAATAACAGGCCCAATCATTTCCCTCTCCACTTCGTTTTATCCTTTTTGTTTCTCAGGCTCAAAGCCAAATATCCCCAGGAATTCCCTCAACCCAGTTCCTCCAGGCCTTTTCATAAGCTTCTTCTAGATCCCTGACCCACCTGCGCGTGTCAAACAGCGCACAGTTCCACTTGCTTTCGAACAACAACCTCCTGAGTTCTCCCAGCCGGCCCACAGGTTCACAGTAATAGTTACTGCCGCCCGTGCTGGAGTCTACGTAGTAGATCCTTTTCCACGACATGCCATTCGCCAATGCAACCGCGCGCTCCTCGTATTCCCTCTCATCTGCACATACCAACTCGCGGGCAGCCTGGTCCCCCAGCGGGCCGCGCGGCAGCGCCCCACGCAAGATAGACGCGGCCATGCGCGAGCACATCTTGTATGGATACCGTGGCAGGGTGAGCAATGGGGTGCTGCTCCACAGCACGTCGGCAGCAGTGGTGTGGGCGTTGCACTCTGGAGTATCGAGGAACAGGTCACAGACCTTGGCTCGTGAAATGTGATCCTGCTTCGGCGCCACATCGGTGAACCTGATGCGAGAGGCCACCGCATTGCCTGACCAGGCGCGAGCAGTCTCCATGAGGTTCCTCTCGCCAAGGTCTGGGAAGCGAAGAAGCCATAGATAAGCCTTGGGACAAGCGGCCAGGATGCGCAGCCACGTACGGAACGTGGTCGGGTCGATCTAGAAAAAGGTCAGCATACACATGAGCGTCAGGCTCGAAAAGTGAGAAAGGCTGTCATACCTTGTACAGTTGGTTGAAGTTCCCTAAGATAACAGCATCATCGGGCAGATCAGGGAACAGTTTTTTGCGCATCTTCCAGCGTTCGAGGGCTTCCTGATCCCACGTGGCGTCGCGGTTGCGACAGCCATCGGCGCTCTGGGCATGGTCGCAGCAGAAGAACGTCTCGCGGCAGTAAATGAGGTTTTCCGAGTAAATCCAGCCCTCCGTGTCAGCATCGGCCTCGTCACGGAAAACATCCTCAAGGTTGAGGTTGCTGCGATGCGGGCGTAGCGTTGAGGGAGGAACGGCCGTCGTGTCAGCGAGCAGATAGTCACACCATTCAGCTCCAAGCGTGCCAGCAAAGCCCATGAAAGACATTTGGATCGGAGCTGGGCGGGCCGCAAAGATCTCGTTGCGTGCGCCGCGAGTGTACCCGTTCAGGTTTACCAGGATGTGAATCTTGTCCTTGACGATCTGCTCGACTAGACGCTCTGACGACCAACTGCTTACATCGCGGAATACTGGCGCTTCACGCTCAATCTGCTGGCGGTGTATCGAGTTATCGCTTGGTGAAGTGGCATAGCAAAAAGCCTTCACGCGGCGGGGGTTGTGCATGCCAAAGACGGATTGCATCCTATACCAGTTAGCTTCACCACCAAGACGACATAGAAAAAGCAGGGATAGGGGCACTAACAAGTGAGCTAATGGGTGGTTATTGAAGTCCGAAGATACATATCCGACATTCAGATGGGGATTCGGCGGATCTGGCGGCTCGTACACAACGGATGGTATCCATGGGGACCTTAGCGTGGAGAAGGATATCCTCCATGCATTCCTCTGGGAGATCATCCGGACCTCCTTTGCCGGCAAGGGACAGGTAAATGTGTGGAAAGGGAGGACGGTAGGGGCCGATGGAATAGGGAGGTTGGCAGGGGGCTTGGGTCGGCGGTATCCAGGGTGTGATGTTACGCCATTAAGCTTGTCGAGATACCACAAGCGCATGGCCGCGCGTGTCGAACGCTCAACCAGACGCAGTATCCGATAGCCTTCGTACGGACGTCCAGCCCATTCCTTCAGCCGAGTCTCCAAGTCCAGTCCAGGATCTGTGAGGAGAGCACCGGCCTCCCTGAGCTGCGCGGCCAGCTGCGTAATGGTGTGCTGTTGCAGGTAGCCGCATCCCCAAAGCGATGATTCCCTCAGCTGACGAGCAACTGTGTCAATGACCCGCTTCATCAGCCCGCTGCTCTGTCCCTGAATCCTAGCATCCAGTAGCATGCCTTTGTCGTCGACATGCCAACGATCATATTTGCCACCTTCAAGTAAGACACCTCCACGGCCCTTCCAGTCGCAGACAGAGCCAAGCGCAGTTGACAGGCCGCAAATAGCCTCGGCAAAGTCGGGATTCGCAGCCACAGCCCGCTTATAATAGTTGATTGCTTCGCCTATCCTTCCTCTGTCCTTCACAGCGTTTGCCAGATTTGTCAGGGCAATATCAAAGGTTCCATCGCACTGGACAGCCTTCTCGTACATGGAGATTGCCATGTCAAGGTGCCCAACATCCTTGAGCAAGCTGCCGAGATTCGTGTGGAGATGCACATGGTTCTTATCGAGCTGTAGACCATGGCTGTAGTAACATAGAGCAAGGTGAAGACCACTTCCAGGGACGATTCCATGAATGGTCTGGCAGACCTTGAGTTCATCTGGGGTAAGTTGCTGGAGCGGTATCGTTTGCTGAATGCCCGCAAGCAAAATGCCGACGTTGTTCGCAGTGGAGGGGCTCTCTTGAAGCGACATGGAGAGGTAGTAAAGGGCCAGGATGTCCCCGACACTTGCAGGCTGACGGTTGAGCGTGGGTGCGGGCCCAGTATTTGACATCGCATCCTGGAAGATCTTTGCCAATGATAAGAGTGAGTTACTGGTCGTTGCCACCGCTGATCTCTTGTGTGGCCCTTCGGGTATGTATTGAAAGCCAGGCAGCTGGCCACCGGTAGAGGAAAAGACATGTTGAGCCGTCATCTTGGCCTTGCTCGGCGGGAGCAGGAGCGGCGCACTAATGCCCCCTTGAGACGAAGACCGCAGCTGGCCGGTCAGAGGGTCGCATGGTGACAGGGAGCTCTGAATCTTCCTAATCAGGGATTTCACTCCGTGGACTCCGCCAGTACTGATCCGGATCACCTCTTCAAAAGCATCCGACGCACGGTTGATGTCCTTCATCGCATACAAGAGATTTCCTTTCGTGTGAATAAGCAGGCACATCCGACCGTTCTCGCTCCCGGGAATGGCATAGCCACTCGAACCAAAGCCTGGTGCCTTGTCTTCAGCAGTCAAGGCAAAGCGCTGCTCAGGACTGTCGGTTTTGTCGGAATCTAGCAGATAATGATCCGGAGCTTCCTCGGCAGCTGTCACGGTAGAAGCAGTATCGGCTTCGCTGGCAGACTCGACAGAATGGTCGACGGGGACATCCGGCCTTGGGAGCCGCAAGAGACGTTGAACATACTCAATCCTTTCGATGGCGTTGTGGTTTCTATGCGCTGCGCACAGGATAGATACCAGATGCTCCGCTGCTTCTAGGTAGCTTGGACGAAGTTCGATGGCTCGCAGCCAATGTTGTTCTGCTTCATCTAATCTATTCATGCAGTAAAGCGTTGCCGCAATGTTGGAGATGGCCTCGACGTGACTAGCAGCTGTTAGCCCAATGCGTCCGATGTTCTCTGGAGAACTAAGAGGTACTTACCTTGGGTCGAGGCTCACAATTCTCCTAAACCACTCCAGGGCTTGTTCATAACGCTCTAAGCCATACTGCAAGCAGCCACCCAGGAGCATCCCTTCAATCCACTTCCAACCACTTTGCTCACAAAGCGAGTGGATGAGCTCCAGAGAGCTCTTTGCATTCGCAACGGGCGAACTGGCATCAGGGAATTGCATCTGATGTGCTGTAGTAATGTAGGACGTTGTATTGCCATAGGAAGCCTGTCCAGACAGCATATTACTGGCACTATCCACCCAGGACTGGCGCCTAGCAGCATATGCCTGAACTTCCATTTGCTGCGCATAGCTCGCGACCTGATTGCTCGGGGCAACATAAGTCCGTGGTCGGCTTACAAAAGTTCCGGGAGCTGCGGAGGCCTTTGGATAGACCATCAGCTTAGACTGAGACTTCGAAGCAACAGAGCTGGCGTGTGCTGCTTGATTCGACCGCTTCGCACTGATGTATGTCAACAGCTCGCTATACGCCCTGTGGGCTTGCTGGAGGACTCGTTCGCGGAAGCCAGCTGGGGAATGCGGTTCGACAGTCCCTGATGCATATCCCTGAGGATAAGTCCCGCCAGAATGGATTTGAGCGAATGATATGGGCATCCGCTGGTTCTGTGCGACATTCTGTTGAGCCAAGTGGCTTTGGTTATAGCGTGAGAAGCCATCGTCAATGGGGGGGTGGCTTGGCATCACAATGCCAAATTGTTGAGGTTGACCCAATCCCGGTGGGTTGACCAGACCACCGGGTAGTGGAGGAGCCTGTGCGGGCATAAAGACGCTGTCGGCTGGGTTCGGAGGAGCGAAACCATTTGGCATAGGGACGGCAGGCCGGTATCCGAAGCCGCTATCTCTCCAGTTGGCAGGCTGCTGCTGGCAGCCTGCCGGATTGAATATCGGTTGGGACAAGGGTTGTTGGAAGCCCGGTCCAAGCAAGGTCTGCATGTCAGGGACGGAATGGAAGCTGTGACGGGAGCCGGGCTGCTGCAGGAAGCCCACCGAGCTGTTTGCCAGCCTTGTGTCCATGATACCACTTCCGGGCCACGCCCTTGGCATCGCCGCGGAACCGTTCAAAGTTTCGTTCCCGTGGCCGACTCTGGCAGCTGGCTGAGGTTGCGCGAAGGGCTGAGGCCAAGCAGCTTGGGCCGAGTCCTGTTGCTGCTGCCTCTGCACGATGGATTGCTCGGTGGTTTGTGGAGGGGCAGCCCGTTGAGCCACAGCGGTCGGGAAGATATTAGCCGTCGAGGCAGGCACGATCATATGCTTCAAGGGAGGAGGCCCGGAGGCCAGGCTGCCCAGCGACCCGTCGTAGCCATTGTCGATGGTCCCACTGGGGGTTTTACGCCTCAGAGAGTGCTCAGCCGGATCTTGAGCGCCAATCCTAGAAAGGCTGTTGCTGTAACGGTGCAGACTCAAACCGTGGCCGTACGGAATGCTGCGAGTCGGGACTGCACGGGCACTCGACTGGTTTAATGAATGATGAGCATGATGAGGATACGCATAGTCTGACCGTAGATGATGGGGTTGATGAGACCCGAAGAAGTCGAATTGGGGTTGCACCGTATGGTGTGTCTGCAGGAGGGGCAGCATGGCGACAGCTTCATTAAGTCAGAACCCACGACCGAACGAAACGACAGAATCGATTGGATAGGCCCAACTCGGCCATGCGAGGCAAACAGTGCGGTTGCGATGATCAAAGGAGCGACGAAGTAAAGGGCAGCCGCCTGGTGTGCCTGATGTCTTGGAACATCAGACAAGGTTGACCATTGCCCTGTTCCGGTCAGGGCAGTCTGCAGTCTGAGCAGCGGGAGGAATCGATCGAGCGCGAAGCAGGAACTCGAAGTCTCAGGATTCTCTGGCGGATTCGTTCAAAGACTCGAACTCGGGGTTGAGCTTAGCAGCCATCGAGAAGCCGGTCCTTCATCACCGGGGGAGGCGAGATGAGGCGAGAGAGTCGGCCAAAAGCGGCGCGGCGCCCAGAAACTCACAGTAGAAATCGCAGTGTTGCAAACGCGGTTCCAGCCAGCGATGGAAACGGACGGTGAATGGTTCGCAGGAAGGTCGGTCGTTGTTGTCGGATGAAAAATGCGGGACTCGATCGAAGAACCCGGAAGTCCTGCTTCGTCTGCTCCCCCCTCTTTCTCTCTCTTCGCACGGGCGATTACAACCTCAGTGTTGTCGGATGTGCGAGGGTGCAGGAAGTTTGCAGAAAAGTCTATGTGAGAATGAGGATCGCGGTCGCGGGAAGGAATTGAGGGAAATCGGATGAAATAGAGAGACGAGGACGAATGGATCTTGGGATCTGGAGTTGCCGCGAGAGAGGTGTGCGATCAAACCGGGTGAACCTGGATGGAACGGGGATGGCACCGGGCAACTGAGAAACGCGGGGTGGGCTCAGATCCCCAAGTTTGTCGAAGCGTCGGAGTGGGCGCCTTCGCTTTGGTGCTTTCCCTTTCTTTTTCTTTCTCTTTCCTTGGTACAGATTCAAAAATCAGATTCCAGGTGTTCGTCCTCTTCGGACTTGCTTCACACAGCGTTCTCCTTTTATTTTTTCTTGTCGGTTTGTCGGGCACGGAATGCAGGGTGTTGAGGAGGATGGAAGCTTGCAGTCAAGCGTCTGCGCACAAGGGTGGGCGTGCTGCGTCTTTCAGGGTTTCTGTTGGTATGTATGATATGTACCTGACTTACCAACAGCCTCAGGCCAAAGAAAAACAGCACCGCTTCGAAAATGGAAATGTCCAGTTTCGCAAACACAATCGGGCACACAACAGTCTGCGGTTTGCTTCCCCGGAACCAACTGGCCGCCGACGTGCAGTTTGATGCAGGAAGGGTAGGGCATGGCTACATGTGTTGATTATCTATTCATCTCATTATATACCTCTACTTTACTTTGCCTTCTAGCACAGTACTTATGAATCTAGGTACACTGCCGGTTCGTCAACAGGCAGGTCGATGGCCGCTGAGCCACTGCCACTGGTCATTGGGCCACTGGATTGGGATTCTCTCCACCATTCCGGCGCCCGCCCGTCCCCACCATTCAGCCCGCCAAACTTAAACGACTGGTACCCAGGCTAGGCCTGCTAGCGGATTGCAGCTTGCCCTCCAGGCTGAGGGCGTCCACTGGGGCCGCGCTAGGGCCCTGATGCATCGCAGTGCATCGCCGTGCATCGCCAATGTCCCCCTAACCTTACCGCACCTTTACCGGCCGAACCACAGAACTGCCTTTCCAGCCCGTCGTCAGGCGTGTGCCGCGCGACGCCATGTCACCCTCCCGAACATGGATGGATGCGGATTACATGCGATCAACATGGAGTGCGTCCACGGCTGTGGCATTTGACTGCATTCGTGTGCTGCGTGTCTTCATTTTCATCAATCGCTCCAGCAAGCCATCGCCACGCTACGGATTTGTACGGATTGTCAACGGGTCCCCTAGGGAAACAGGAAACCCATACATCCCACCATGGCACCAAAACCCACGGCAACCGGCACGAACTCGTACGGCACAAGAGCATCACGGATCTTGGGTTGTTTCTGTATGCTTCGTGCCAGATTCCATCCCATTTCTTTTGCCCCACTGCCGTGGGGCTCTATGATTCTGGGAAGGCCGGGCAATGTTCGACGAAGAACTCGCGGAATCCAGCGATGCTTCTGGATCTCCCAGACTTTGAACTCTGGGCTGGACAGACTCACCAAAGTAAAGGGACGTCCGGAGCGCAGTTGCGGCGCTGAATGGCCGCTGGAGACTGCACCGCGACAATCTCTGTACGACTCGGCAAGGCAGATCAATGACCTGCCGCCCTGGATTGCGTCGCCGAAACGGCGTGTTTTGCGGTGTGTAAGATATGTGTGATGCATGTTTACGGATGCGTGTGTCGCCGTCCTTAGAGTCCTGCTCGCTCTGCGGCTTTTCTCGTCCATGTTGCCATCCAAAAGAGTGCAAAAAGACGCCAAAAAGTGTCTGCTCTGTCAGACAGAGTCAGCCATGCTGCACCACTTCACGCATCCTCCGTGCGATGCGACTTGGTCGCACAGCTACCAGTGTAGTCTCAGGCAGAGCGTCATCGTACGCCCATCATTCCATCCTTCAGCCCGACTTCATCATCCAGACTTGCTCTCGCTGCTTCGTCTGGGATACGAGCGTCGGAAAGAAAGGGCAAACTGTTCGTGCCGACGCCCTCCCACTCGTCGTCATCCGTCCGCCGTTGGTCGTGTGCTTGCCATGCCTGCTTGCCCTGCTGCAGCAGATCACCACCCACAGACCCCATCACCGCGCCGCCATGGCTTGTCCTGAACCGCAGCAGATCAGAAACATGCCGTTCGCCTGCATGGCACACCACATACCAACCAGCCAGCCAGCAGCCAAGTTGAGCCAACGAGTCTGGTATCCCTGGCCTAGTCACCCCGCGGATTGCCCGACTCTACACGCCCACTGGCTGAAAGAACCTTACCCAAGCCAGCCTCTCAACGGCCAAGGCACACTTGTTTAATCCCGATCCAGGCAAAAAACTGGTTGCTGTGTTCTTTTTTTGATAATGGCAATCTTGTTGACGAGCCAGCTCACTGGGCGAGGATTCCCCTTCTCCAAAATCCCACCGAAGCAAGGAATGGCACACCCACAGAAACGCACACACATCATCACCAGTGCAGCCGCCGGAATGAGGGGAGAGAAGAGGGAAAAAAAAGGGAAGGCCGGCATGCCACTCCCGCCTTACCCTGGCCTTGGCTGCGCTTCTGGGAGGTGCGAGCAACGGCCGGCCGACATGGGGGTGGGTCCGCTTCTGCCCTGGCTTTTCCATTTTCCATGCCGTGCTGCCGGCATCCCATCTTATGTCCCATTTTCCCTCCCTTGCTTTCGGCAAGATATTGTCTGGCAGATCTCTGCAGTTTGGATATGACTATCATGGTAACATCAAGCGTGTCCCAAGAAAAATTGCTATGTCAAGCGGTCTCACGCAAAATGATGTCCCATCTGCTGCGGAACAAGAAGGATTCCAAGACGTAACCCATCGAACCGCCAAGGTCTAGTTGCATGGCGAGCCAAATGAAGATCCCAGGAATCATCCCTGTTTCAGGAGGGGTGTGTGGGGAACAAGCGCAGTATGGGCAAAGCCACTTTTACACGTGTTGTCAGCCGAGAAATGTTCATCACGCTCATCATCATGGTGAGCCCATTGAATCAACTCAACAAAAATGCTCCGTAAATTCTCAGTCTCAATTGTTCCATCATGAAGTCAGGAGCAATTGAACATGACATATGAAAGACCAGGATTCAGTTGCCTATTCACCGTTTTGTATTGGATGTTGATTATGTCCCTCTCTCTGTACTATGAGTCTAACCATGCATGTAACTCATCGATGTGGCACATGTAAGGGTCGGCCCCCTCCCTTCAAAAAAAGGACAAACGCGTCTCAGGTTCTCAAATTATAATCATGAACCACCGAACTCGAGAGCTATGTAGGAACCAAGTTCTTGAGAACGAGAAACACTTCCAAGTTCCAAACACCACAAGGTGACTGCCTACCGTTTACCCAACCGAGGGACAAGGCTCCCTAGAACAAGGCATCAAGATCTCTCCCAGACCGACCGAGACACTTCGCATGCTCCGAAACCGATATCCGCGGCTGATCCCCCAGGAACTGGAATGCTTAAATTATGATCACCGTCAGAGCTCTGCTTAAAGGGCGGGCATAAGATGCTGGCAACTCAAACCTCATCCAGAGAACCTACTTTTGCTCATATAGTTACCAACGGAGAAGTTATGTGTAGAAAACTCAAGGGCTTTACAGACACTGTGCATATAGAGCTCCTTCCGTTGGCTGAGACTCCCGGGTCTTAATTATTGAAGACGTGTCTAACCGTAAGACCATGCCAAGCCAACCTGTTTTCAAAATGATAGGGAGATTTTGAAGAGTTATTTCTTTGAATCCTACGGGTTCTCTAAAAGCTCCAAGCCCAAGCTATCAACAAAGCTATTGGCATCCCAATCAAGGAAGGTTTAACTTCAACCATCCACACTCATCCGGATCTGGATGACCCTACCCAAGATGTGCTGCGCCGCTGGATGGAACATGAATCGCATCCAATGCTTACTTTCCTGGTAATATCACGAAGCATGAACAAGTGGCAAAAATGACAAGCTTGCGTCACCGTGCACAGCAACCGAAAATACAGTGCAGTCAAACAACAAGCAGGATTAGATCAGAAGCAAGCTTCTCAAACCCTTTGGCTTTGGAAAGTCGATAGAAACTGACGCGTCCACCGAGTCACCGGTCAAAACCATTTTCAACGACAAACCACCAGTTCAGAGCAATCCATGCTTCTTAGAAGCACTATCTCTGTTCTCAGGAATTCGACAGTTTGGGAGGGAGAAGGGCAAGCTTTTCTTTGAAAGAATGTCGACCTAAATGATGGACCTCAACTTCCACAGCACGACTGCCAACGAAAGCCATGGTGAGTAGTAGGACGCCGATTAATCTTCCTGGACACAAAGAGCCGAATGGACCATGGGAGAGCGGTCATATCCGGAGTGAACAGCCAGGGATGAAATAGGGGGACTCGTCGTCGCTAAAAGGGGAAGTAGGGATCAGGTTAGCATCAAAGGTGCCGGCGACAAGCCTCTCCCTCTCAGGCGGACCATCACAGACTCGGCCATGACATTCGTTCTTTTGATTGGTTTTGCCGTGACTGGCAAGCCTGATGCAAAGCAAGCCCTGAACTCCTAATCACATGCCAAGAATTCCCAAACCGACCTTCCATTCATAGAAGAGTAAGCTAGTATTTTACTCATCAGGGACTGTGGCATATAGTCAGCATGGTCACATATTGCATGGAAACTGGCAGTAGAACGTACTGTCGATTTCGCCCGCCTCAATCGCGTCGCTGATGGCCTTCGGGCTCTTGCCATCGACCTGGCAACCAACGCTGAACGCAGTGCCCAGAATCTCCTTCACACCACCCTTAAGATCCTTGGAGAAGGACTTGAACCGCATCGTCCTCGCAATCTCGATGATCTCGTCCAGAGAGACGGACTTGTTGTGCTTAATGTTCTTCTCCTTCTTGCGGTCGCGAGGAGGCTCCTTGAGCGCCCGGATGATGAGCGCCGAGGCCGTCGGCACGACCGACACTTGAGCCTGACGGTTCTGGATGGTGAGGCGAACCGTCACCCGGAGACCCTTCTGTATTGCAATCGCGGCGCGTCACATCCCCCAAAGGGGGATTACGCCTTCTCGTCAGAACATCGGTTCCCGTGGCTCAAGACTCGTTTGTTATGTCCGGAAAAGGGATTTTGCGTACCCAATCGGCAGTGGCCTTCGCGATATCTTCACCGACCTTCTTCGGCGACAGACCGAGAGGACCGATCTTAGGGGCGAGGGCCGAAGAGGCACCCACCTCACCACCGGTAGCCCGGAGGTGGCTGTGAACGGCGTCGTTGTTAGCTCCAATTCTATCTTCTCATCGCAGAGTCGCTGCCAGAAAGCGCGTTATATCGTCTCAGAGAGTTCGGATTGCTGGAGCTGCTGGCGCTGCGGGTAGTGGTGTTTTCAGGAGGAACTCCTTACATGATCTTGATCTCATTGGGGTCAAACTTCGGGGCTGCACGATACTCAGAATTAGTATTCCGTAAGAAAACGACAACAGCAGCAACAATCAACAACTTACGCATCTTGGCGGCTGGTTAAGAGACGAGGACTTGGATGGTGTTGGTGGGAAGGGGTGCAGCCGTGCCGAGGATCAAGACAGCGAAATCGAAAAAATCGCAGTTGTGGGTTTTCCCTGGCTGCCCTAAAGTTTTGGGATGTGTGGCTGGATTTTTTTTTGGGAGAGCGGGGAATACGGGTGGGTGTGGCTAGAGCTAAGAGCCCACCTTTACAGCTGATACCAAGACGAAAGGAGTACCTGGCCCGTTAAACCTGCTAGTATCGGCTCATCGAACAGAAGGAAAATTTACCTCTTGATTCAGCGAGACCGTAAGTATTTGGACCAAATCTCGTCAGATATAGTGAAAAAAAACCATACTTTGTCCTCTAGAATGAGTTTACTCGGTTTATCTCGCTATATGGTTGCTGTATGCAGCGGTTGAATGAACTGGCACTTTTAACACCCAGGGTCCATTTAGGGACTCAGCGACCAGGCATTTCGGTGCGGCAGCCGTCAACCAGGGGTCACATCAAGCCACAGCCCACACGAAACTGATGTGGGGTCAGGCGCGATCTTGTACCGATCGATGGGAACTCACCAGGTGATACTCACCAGACACAAGAGAAACAGCTTTTGCATCGCTGCAAAGGGGAATTCCACTTTCAATAACACTGACGCTAAACAATCACACAAATCAACACTTTCCACCACTCTAAATATATTGGTCAACCATTATAACACCTTCACATAACACTCCATCCCTCTCACTTTCCCAACCGTCTAATTTGTACCGCTCACGGCCAACTTCATGAGATGCTCCATAAACGTTTGCAGGGACACATCATCCGTGAAGATAGTCTGCCCGCTTGCCGCGCCAACACCGCCGTAGGCACCAGCACCCGACGTGTGTGTAGTAGACGGGTTAAGCTTGGACAGGAGAAAGCGCGCCTGGGAGCCACCCTGGTCGCAGACGATGAAACGGGGAAGAGGGAACCGATCGGCGATAAGTTCCTACAGAGTGTTTATGTTAGCCATTTGCTGTCACACCCACGCGAGCTTGGCTTGAGCTTACCCTTGCATCCTCCTTGGGTTGCTCCAGAAGAGCGCGGAAGTTCTCGTAACCTTCTTGATCCTGGTAACCAGCTTTCCTCCACTCGGCGATGGTCTCGCCGTGGAAGATGAGGATGTGGAAGAAGGTATCCAGGAGAAGGATATGAGTAGGTTGAATCGAGGTCGAGTCCAGGAGCACAGGGACGCCGCCCTCCTGATCGAAGGTGTATGAATCCAGCGTAGGCTGGATCATGATGAGGGAGTTGCCAACATCCTCGTGATTGAGAACGTGGCGGTAGAAGGCCGTCTCGTCTGGCGAGTTATTGAAGACCTGCAAGAATTGACTTCTCCGCAGATGGAACATGAACTGCGGGTAGAGGGTAAAGTTCTTCTCCAAGCGGAAGGACGATGGGTCGTCCTTGCGGTAGTCGGCAAACCGCGAACACAGCCTGATGAGCATCCGGTCGACCCAGCGGAGCACGTCTGGCCCATCATCGACCTCGGCCTTGAAGACCGCGATCCTGGACATAAGGACTGCCGCGGCCTCCTGGTCGAACGACTGCGCAATCGCCGGGTCACCAGCCGGGCCACTAAGATTCCGTGCGATAGTGGTAACACGGAGGTGGAACTGGCCAGACGAGTGCTGGTAGTATGTGAGGAATTGAATCATAGCCTTCTGCGGGGCCTGCTGATGCTGGGATGGACCTCCTTGAGCGATCTCAAAGTAGATACCGTAGCTCGACTTGGGATCGATGCCACACATTTTCCAGGCGCAGGTATTGCCGATACCGCACTCAGTCTCGCCGACCGACGTCGACTTTTTGTTAAGCGATACGGCATGGCCGATGAGGCCGGTGACCTTCAGCTCCTTGGTTGTCAACACCTCAAGGACAGCGTTGAAGCCCATAAGGAGGTTATCATCCGCATCCTTCTCAAAGATACGGATGAATGACTGCTTGAACATGGACGATGTGAAACTGTCCGTCAAGATCATGTGGCCACCCGTCGAATTGCACAGGCCCTTCATCTCAAGAAGACCAACCTGATCCAGGCAGCCGGCAAAGATATCGATAGTGTGGCCATTGTGGGCTGTCCGCTTGGCGAGGTTGTCATAGAACTATGCGGTGTCAACACACCCGTTTGCAAAGAAGGGCGAAAGAAAATACGTACCTTGAGGGCCTTCTTGTAGTACTTGACATTGTCGCGATCAATGTCGTGGTGAGAGCGAATAGGTTCCCTTAACTCAGGGCCAACCACCATGCCGGGACCCTCGGTGGCCGGACCGCCAGCGAAGAGCATAATGCGGCCGCCAGCATTCTGGAAGGAAGTCTCGAGCAGGCCAACGGCTACTGAGAGGGCGACACCAGTGCAGCGTAGGGGCCTGCGGTCGCTCGTGACGGGCCAAGGGTCCTTCTGCAGCTGCTCGAGAGCCTTGGTAAGCTGGAACTCAGCTTGGGTGACAGGGAGGAGGAAGCGAGAAGCCGGGCCCGTAGGGAAAGGCCTGCCAGGCTGAGGGGGCATGCCGGGGCGCAGAGCAGGCTGCGAGAGACCGAGCATCTCCTGGACCTGCTTTGCCGTGTATTCCTTGTTGCCGCGGAACACGTACGACTTGGCACATTCGGTGTAGCCGATCTCATGAACCTGGGCCATAGTGCCGAATGTGATCAGACCGACCAAGGCGTTCTCAGGCAAGAGACTGAGGCTCATAATCAGAGACTCCTTGAGGGCAGCAAGACTGTCCTCTTCCTGGCAGGTGTCAACGACATAGAGAAAGATTGGAGGGCTCGGAGCTGGGCGCGAAAGTCTGTACTCGATGGTTGTGTTGGAGGGGTGCAGCTCAGGAGGAATCGCATTGGGGGTGATGTCCTTGTAGTGGGGAGGGAGCGGGTTCCTCGACAGGCAAAACGGGCAGATCCAGATGCGCGCGCGAACGTCAACTTGGCTGTCAGGTTGTCAGTGCGACTCTTGAGCCATTGGGCTGATAATGGAGTTCCAAGAGAGCTCCAGAGAGGAACGTACCAGAAAGGGTTCAAGACCGAGCGGCAAGGCTGCTTGCAGGTGACGGGCTCGAAGTGCAGCAGGGGAGTATCAGGCTTCTCTTTCAGCGGAGTATAGAGAGCGCCGATGGGGACGACCAGTCGGGAGGCTTCCTGGGGAGCGCATTAGCTCTGGAGCGGACAACAGCTTTTATAACAGGACAGGCGGACCATGCGAGAGCTTGGAAACACGTTCCAGCTGAGGCGGACGCCATCGCGATCCTCAACTTCACCCCACTGCTCCTTAAGGGCGTCGTAGTCCATGGTGTTTGTCGGTGATGTATCCGTGCGGTGTGGTCTGTGAAAGTGCTTCAAGAGTGGGAGATAGGACGACTGCAAGACAAACGATCGGCGGCAATAATGCGGACCGCTAGACCCTAGCTGACATTAGTCTTCTGTGCAAGATGCAAGGCATCGCGATGGCAGCGGCAAGTGTACCTTGCAGGAGTTCCGAGTGGGTGCGCAGATGGTGGGCGGGATGGGGTCGGGCCTCGGCGCAGGGGAGCTTCGTTGGATAGTGACCTAACGTTGACTTTTTTGTGGCTTTCACTTTCTTTTGAGACCAGGCCAATCGAGAGCGAACGTGGTCGCGTCGATTGCGTGGCTGTCAGTAGGATAGGAAGAAAGACTATGGGCGCGAGATGCGGCCACTTTCTCTTGAACGCTCGACACCCAAAAGCTCGGCAGGAGATGTTGACTTGCTGTCCCCTCTTCGAAAAGGACAGGTTCCAGATCCGGACCGTATCTGGGTCTCACCCCACCGACAGCCCCTGGCATCGTGGCTTGATGTGGCACGGTGGGCATATAAGTGTGGCTTGGAACTGCCCCATCCGTAACAGCGTTAGGCTCCCCACTCTTCACATGCTGGAATGCCAAGAACTCGAAGTCGATAGGAAACTCGAGAACTCAAACTTTGAACGAGATCTGCTGCAACTCAGGAGTCTATGAGATGACAGATACATAGGTAGGTTTTTCACGACTTTTTGACGCGGCTGCAGTGGAGGGTTTTTCTTGGTTCTTAATTACATCCTCTATATACATAGTCCTCAACCAACAGGCTGCTCATTTTCTTGATCCAGGATAGATACCTGCAAGTATCTTCATCAGTCTTGCATACCAACACTTCCTGACCAACTGGACGACGCTCTGTTTCAACAATGATAGTTCTGTTTGGCAGCATGTTTTGCTAAGTTGCCGGGTTGTACGCATATTCGGAATAGCTGTATTTGGGGAAGATCATAAAAAGACGGAGGCACCAAGAGCAGTTCCCGAATCGTGTGTTAACCATTTTGTTGATTACCCCTATACTTTACGTTTAAATCAAGCAAGTCGCACATACGGACAGGTGTAGCTGTACAGAGCCGCATTTACCAACCCAGCGCAAGACCAACACCAGCAGACAGAGCCATAAACTTAAGGATCAGATCACTCAGAGAAGCAATAGTGCCGCCACTGTTCGCAGGTCATTAGCAAGAGCCGCCGATTAGACATGAGCAGTACGTAACAACAAAAGACTTACATGACACGGCCCTCAGGGCCCTTCTTCGAGTAGCCAATGGCATACGCGGCGCGGCAGAGGGACCAGGTAGCGCCTAAGCCGGCAGCAGCATCGGGATACTTGAGACCACCGATGAGCAGAGCGCCGAGGAAGGGCGTCAGATTCTCAGTAAAGTTGGCATGAGCGCGCTGGGCTGTACAGCGTGTGGCAGGTTAGTACACGCATGTTGTATCATTCAGCATGGTTCGCTTGTGTAGTGGTGGGGAGGTAAGTGCCCATGGTTGTGAACGGTGACTAAGCTAGGCTTCAGACAGCTTTTCCGGTGAAAGCTCAATGAGATTGTTTGCTTTCCCAAAAGAGTTTGGTAAAGGGTAACATTACTCTGGGACAAGCACATACCGCAGTTGAAAAGATAGGCCTTCCGGTCCTTCTCAGCCACTTCGTTGCTGGCATAGGCAATGGGGTACTTCTGACCAGCAGCCTTGCGAGCCGTGACCGTCAGGATTGCGTGAAGGGTATTGACGAAGAAGGTAGAAGTGGCGGCAAGGAGGACGTAGCTGGCGGCTCAGATCAGCATGTAAACAAAGCACTGAGACCACCACGGCATGGGTCACGGTGATCCCCATATTTGTCCTGGCATGGGAGGGAGCTTACCCGTATTCGTCCGGAACGGTGACAACAGTGGGCATTTTGGCGGGGTCTTTGGTCTCAAGCGCGACTGTAGAATTTGGAATGGAATGAAAAGCGATCGTTTTTTGGCTGCGGAGAGGTAGAACGAGGCTCTAGATGGAAACAGAAGACGTTGAAATAAGATTTGTTAGCGTCGATAGCCTTCTATTGGCTTCTACCTTCCCTTGTTTGTTGCGTAAACAGGTCGTAACCTGGTTGCTGAATCCTGGCCACATCGCGTCTTTTCCCGTCTGGGGATGGATTGGGGCCAATCGACACGCTGGTGCTGGGCTGGGGTCCATGGATTGCTCCGTGCAGTGGGCTGCACGGACGTCAAAAGCTCCGAGAGCCGAGCACAAGAAAGTCGCCGCGAGCCCTGCGGATTAGGCCGACTCCGATGTCACATCTGGTGTTAAAGTATTGGGTTGTGCTTTCAAAATGGAATACCAACACGTGCGTAACGGCTGCTGGAGGTTGATGTGGCCGGATATCCGACAGGTTCAGGGCGGGCGTGCAGCAGAAGATCGACGACGGTGTAGAGATGGTGCAAGGGGACCTCGCTGGAGCTCCCGAGAGTCAGTCCCGGGGCAGTGGACCTCTTTTAAAGAGGCTACTTTAGGTCCCCTCCAGGGTTCGTAGGGCTGATGAAGGCGACTAACCACCATCGCGGCAGATTGCGCCATGGGGTCTTCCCCTCGTAGTCTTGGCTATCACACATCATACATGTCAAAACTACCATCCTCAACACCCTCAACAGCATCATCATCATCATCATCATCATCATCATCATCCAGGGGTAACAGAGTGCAGATACAAAATACGATGCACTATCCTGTACAACGTTCTTCTGGCGGCCGCCACACCAGGCCGAGCCCCTCAAACACCCGTTTCTCGGCTGTCAGCATGTCGGGAGCCGGCTCGCCGTTCGGCCCGCTCTCAAGATCTACCCACGACCCATCTACACGGCTGCGGATGCCGCTGCTGTCAAACTTAAGCGCCCTCTCGCGCTTACAGTAGCGCCGCAGGTCGCGTTGGAACGTCGTACCGCTGCTCCAACCCAGCACCGCACAACCGACCGTCTTCCACGGACTGATGATGATGTCAACCCGCCGATGCGGGTTGGGGTTCTTCTTTTCGCCTGTCGTCCATACCGGATCTTGCCATACCACTAGCGCTTTGTCGAGGGTGTCAAACCCGGTGCCTGCCCCTCTTCGATCGTCTCCCTTCCAGTTGACCGGTATCTGGCCGCGCTCCGAGTTGGCTGTACTCAAAGTCAGAGTGTGTGTAATATATCCGGCTTCCTCGAGACGCACAATGATGCGCTCGACAAAATTGTGCGTAGCGTTTTCATCACGGTGGCTGAGCACGACATCCACGTCGCCGCTCTTCAGTTTCCCACGTCGGTAGCCGCCCACGATGACCATCTCGAAACCCGGGTGTAGCGCGTTGGCATGCTCTAGAATTGTGTTTGCTATGCGCTCGACCTCTTCCCGCGGGATGCCCTGCTTGAACTCGTCGTAGTACTTGACACCAATCTGCTGTACACGAGTCAGGCTATCCCAGCCATACTCGACGATATCGTCCAGGTCGCGCCAACCCCTGTTGTAAAAACTCCGGGCTGTCGTCTCTCCAACGCCCCAGATCTCGTAAAAGAGCTTAAGCACAGCAAGTCTGGGGTTCGAGTCGTCCTCATTGGCCTCGGCGATCTGGCCCGTGTCCTTGAACTCTTGAAATAACTGCGCGATCTTGGCCCCGCATCCGGGTAATCGCGCCACCTCTGTGACGGGTTTAAGCGGGGGATTGACACTTTGGTAGATATGGTATGGACGCTACCCACCTTGTGCAGTCTTGAACGCATAGGGGTAGGCGGCGATGGTTGCAATGGCGCTCGAATACGCCCGCACGCCAATCCGGTCACCCATCAGGGTCCTGGCCGTCTTGATCTTTTCAAGCTCCTTTATAAACGACTCGTTTGGCGGATTCACTGGTGTTGGCCGTTGACACGAGTATGTGGTGTGAAGATAATCTGGGATCGGGGGTAGTTGGGTGTCTATCTCGTGCTCTGATGTCGTCTGCCTGACCAAAGGAGGGCGCTTGACTGGGTGACTAGAATATGTCTCTCCCCTTCTTCCTTGAGATGATGGTGGCCGGAAACCTTCTCCTGGAGAAAATTCCGCATCGGCCCGGGCGCGCTTCATAACCTCAACTGACTTCTCCGAGGACGCGGGAGAGGTTTTCTCTCTTTGCTTTGCAGGAGCCGCGCGTAGCTTTCTACCCTCATAGAGAAGGTAATCTCTAGTAGGAAGCACCTTTCCAGCTTTGATGGATTCGGTGAACCAAGCCAGCCTTACGACCCTGACCGTCTGCTCGGCAGGGCCTGGACCGGCTAAGCGGCGTTGAATCTCGGCATCGGATACCGAAGCAGTTGTATCTGAGTCTAGTGTGTCTGAACCGATGCCAGAGCTGTGGGTAACTGATCTCGTCAGCTTGGCGCGCTTGTGAGCTGGGGATCTTGCCGTCGGGCGCTCATCGCCCGTCCGCTGTATCTCTTCTGTGGCAAGTTTGAGCTTTCTGAGCTCGAACAAAGCACGCTCCTTCCGGAAGATCTTGCCCAGAATGACTTCAGCTTCGTTTATGTCATTAGTTAGGGTTGGAATTTGCTCCTCGAGTTCCTCTAGCTCGTCGGCGCTAAGGTGTGTGGGCAGGAGGAAGATGATAGGGAAGTTGAGCGTCCTGGCGAGGGAGTTGGGATGATCAAGGGCAGACATGATGCATGCTCCACTTCACAACCATAAATCATGGCGCGCAGTTAGTTAAGCTCATCGGGTCGGGCTACGGCAAGCAGAGAAAGCATCTGAAGTCTGGTTCAGTATTCCCTCGAGTCGGGGTTTATCGAAGGAGCAACAGAAATAATGGCAACATCACAATAATTGTCCTTGATGCTGACAGCTTGCATCCAAAATTTCAAGGCATTGATCGCGGAAGCCGAGAAAATGTTCTATTCTATTGAAAGTGACAATGAACAAACCAGAAATGCTGGAACTAGAAGAACGGCAAAGGCGATGAATGAATGACGAAGGAGGGGACGCCCCTTGGTGCAGAGCGACCCGTGTTGGGGGGCATGGTGGGGTCGTGGGGTTGGAGCAGCAAGTCCCCCCGGCTTGCTTGGCGGGGTGTGGCCTTGGCATTTGGACTTTGGTCTAGACGACGGAACCGTACAATACCGCATTGTGTGAGCACAGTTATGACATTGAGAAATGCTCATAGAGTTGTTTGAACTTTAGTGACCTTGAATAAGACAATGAGCACCAAATCATAGGCGAGGACACGCCCGAGTTAGACTGGGAGACACGTGCTGTACTCCGTGTTGATAATTGTTTGTACACTGTGGGCTGTTAAACATACAGTCCTCTCAAGTATTGCTAACTCTGCGTCTGCGCTTGGATCCATATACGGATGGAAATGTTGGATTTGCCACTATTATCTAGACCGTGCTTGTTTATCGTTCCCTGCCTGTAGATGTAGCAGTTACTTGGGAGCAACCGAAACATGCATGGGCAACAGCACCTCTACAGGAGGGGCTGTCGTAAAAGCACAGCCCAGTGTATATGGCTTGTTGACACAGTCTAAGCCCCACCGTCTGCGGCTCAAAGCCAGACCCAGCCGAAGTTCTGGAACGCTGCATGTTTCTTCGACTGTCCGGGGTCGGACAACCCTGCGCTCTGCGGATGGCCTTTTTGGCATTCGAGCCTTTGCCGCTGCCTCTCACACCCATCCATCCCATCCATCCCACCCAGCCCATCCACGTCTAATACGTGCTTGCGCATCGCCGCAAGCAGCCCGAGGCCATCAGAAGCATATAGTAGTCGCTCGTTATCCGTGTCCTGAATATCAGATCGTGTTAATCAGAATATTATCGGGGGTGTGACGCCCCGAAGACGGGACGCGCACGCGTTGCTGGGTGCAGTCCCTCACCATCTTCTGAACCTTTTATCTCATATCGAGCCCGTCATCCTCCCGTCAGCACAACTTGTGCTCAATCTCCCGGTCAACTGACTCCTGTTTTTTTATCTAATTTGCCTTGCCCTCTTTCCTGCTCTCTTGCAGAGGCTCCATCTCTCACTCAACATCCTCAACTTTGAGGAAACTGTCTTCCCTCTTCTGCCTTTACGTGCATCCTACCAACAAGACGACAAGTAGCCCGAGATGGATGTCGCCCAGACTCTCGTGCGCTCCGTGATGCGCGCCTTCTACACCACTCAAGAGATCCTCGTCATTGAAGCCCTCGTCACACACTCCGTCCTGCGCGATGATGAGCTGGCCTATCTGATGAAGATGAACCTCAAGGATCTACACCGACTCTGCGCAGGCCTGCGCGACGCACGCTTCCTCGTCGTGCACACGCGCCCCGAGATGCAGCAGGGCAAGACACGGCCCGTCAACCGCACTTACTACTACATCGACTACCGGCAGACGATCGACGCAATCAAGTGGCGCGTTTACAAGACCGACAAGGATATGCAGGGCATCGCCAAGCCGGCCGATGAGGCTAAAGAGTACTTTTGCCCGCGCTGCAAGGCCCAGTGGACGCAGCTCGAGGTGCTCGACTCGTGCTCGCAGCTGGGCTTCACATGCCAGCGCTGCGGCACCGTGCTAGAGCGCTCGCAGGAGCGCGAGACTCCGGGCCACCAGCAGCTGTCGCGCATGAATAACCAGTTCAAGTTCATGACCGACATGCTACAGCAGATCGACAAGCAAGTCGTGCCGGAGTGCACGTTTGAGAAGGCACTCGCCAATGCCCGCCCTATCGTGCGCGACGCGGCTCATGAGGTGGCGCCTAGTGTGCCCGTAGACACGTCCACCTACAACAAGCCGTCTGCCGTCAAGGGTTTGGCTAATGTCGGACCTAAGACCATGCAGGTTACTATCTCGGATGGCAACGACGAGCAGGAGAGGCTGGAGGAGAAGCGCCGCAAGGAGCGCTTGCTTAAGGAGAATGCTTTGCCCTCATGGATCACAGAGAGCTCAGTTCCCACCACTTCCAACTTTTCGACTATCATCCAGCCGCAGACCCGTTCATTTGAGATGGTCGATGCACATGACGACTCTTCCAAGCCTGCCTCCAAGCGTGTCAAGCTAGAAGATGGGGCTGCGGCCGAGGTTAAGGTTGAGGGCAACAACGGGACTATGGAGATGAGCTTCAAGATGGAGGAAGAAGATGCTGACGAGGACGATCTGGAATTCGAAGATGTTGTGTGAAGGGTGACTGACAACTTCACAATTCGAATCGGAAGGCATCACGAGATTATGTCGAGATTTGCTTGGCAGCTTTGGGGAGGGGAAGGCGGTAGAGAGAGAGCAGTTGTTTGCAATGTTGGCTTCACACCGTCGCAGCGACGCTGCTTTCTTCTGCCTGACATATTGCTTGCCGAAATATGCAAGTCATATTGCCGGCATGCGACCAAAATTTCCACCAGTGGGACCAACTGGTCAAACAGGTGTGGTTTCCAGGCTCACTGGGGGACGGTCTTCGGATGCGAATAATACCAACGCTCACAGCAGTCTTAAAACACCAAACATCCCAACATCGATCAGAATGACGTGCCAGTTTTGGGTTGCGTAGGGAAGGCTGAGTCAAAAACACACTAACAGCTTCGGTGGAATTATATCGCCCCCCTCTAACCAGGCAGGAACCGCATCAAAACTTGAAGATAGGGATTCTGTTGGATAAGGTAAACGGGTATTGCCAGCGAGAGAGCTTATTATTTACAGCCACAGCCCACAAACAAGCCGCAGTAAAAAGAACTAGGTAATTGCTTTGAAAAAAAAATTACCGAAGGATGACGACCACTGCAATGTGGATGAAACGGGGGAAAGATACCTGCTAGAGATAGAATAGAGAAAAAGCCTACCCAGTCCCCTTGCCCTCTCCATCCATGCCGTCATGAAACCCCCATGTCAAAGGCAATGAGAAAAACACATCCCGCATCTCTTTGTATCAAACGAAAAGTTAAACTGCCTTCATGCCGTTTACCTCCTCTCCCCATTCTTTCCCCGACCTAACCCATCCAGCAACGTACGAGTTGAGGAAAAGACTACGCCTTCTGGTCTCAGCTCCGTGCACGCACCCCCCCCCACCCCTCCCTTATATATCATTTAGTAACATCTCATGGAATTACCTATATTTGCGCAGCTGTGATAAGAGTCAGCATGCCACTCAGAGCAAAACAACAGAAGCCGAGGGGCACTCACATCAAGTGTCAACGTCCTCGACGTATTCGCTTCCTGATCTCTATACACACCAATCAAGCTCTCACTGGCCTGGAACAGCGCCGGCTTGAGCGAGATGACGATAAACTGCATGCCCGGCCCAGCATGCTCGCGGATATACTTCTTGATCTTCTCCACGTTCGCATTATCCAGCGCAGCGTCGACCTCATCGAGCACAAAGAAGGGACTGGGCTGGTAGCTGTGGATGGCGAACAGCAGCGCCAGCGCGGCCATGGTTTTCTCGCCGCCCGACAGGTGCTCCATATCGCGGAAGCGCTTGAGTGGCGGCATCGCGTGGTACTTGACGCCGGAGAGGAAGGGCGTGTCCGTGTCCTCTTCGATGTCCAGGTAGGCCTGGCCGCCCAACGGGTAGGCCTCGGAGCGCGTGAGCTCCTTGTAGACGTGGGTGATCTGCTCTTGGATGTGGGTGAAAGCCTTGTTGAAGAGCTCCAGGCGCTTTTGCTTAACGGCTTGAAAGCTCTCGCGGGCTTGGCGCAACTTGGCCTTGGAGGCTTCGAACTCCTGTTCTGTTTGTTCGAGCTGCTTCCTGACATGGTCGAGACGGTCCATTGCGCGGAGGTTGGGGTTGAGTTTCTCGAGCTGGGCAGTGAGCTCGTCGATCTTAGCCTGGAGCTGACGCTCAACGCTGTCATCGTCCTCCTTGAGGTTGTCCTCGAGCTTATCAAAATCGACCTCGATACCATAGTTATCCATGGCCGCCTCCAGCATTCCGTCCTCATCCACCTCACCGTCCACATCCATGGCGTCTTGATCCCGCTGGAGAAGGGCTTCTTCGTTTGGCAGATCGTCAAGCGAACCTGTCTTGAGAGGGATCTTGATCTGCTCCAACTTGCAGCGACGCAGGAGTGCGAACTTGTCCTGGCTGTTCTTGTGCACAACAGCCTCCAGGTTGCTGATCTCCTTGAGCCGACCTTCGATCTCTCGTCTCCTCTTATCCAGGCCTTGCTTGATCTCAGCCACCCGGTCGGATTTCTCGGTATAGTCTGACTTCACCTCCACAAGTGTCTCTTGGAGCGCCTCCAGTTCGTCTAGATCTTCCCCCCTGGCTTTCTCGATCTCCTCCTTCTCTCGCTTGTAGCTCTCAAGATCTCTTTGATTCCTCTTGATCGCCGCCTCGAGGTCGCGCAGACGGTCGTTGAAGGAATTGAACTGTGACGTCTCCCAAGCCAGGCTGTTCTGGATGCGCTGCTTCTGCAGGTTGAATTCCTGGCGCTTCTGGGTTGCCTCTTGCTCAAGACTGCCTTGTTGGGCCTCGTACGCGCGGATGTTCTCATACCCAAGCCTCTTGCAGAAGCTAGCAAAGATCTTATCTTCGACTTCGGCAATGGCCTTCTCGAACTTTTCAACCGTCGCCCGAGTGCGTTGCAGCTCGCCTTCCTTCTCGGCAAACTTGGGCTCGTACTCCTTAAGCTGTCTCTTAGCATTGTCGAGCTCCTTCTGCTTGCTCGTCAGGTTCTTTTCGAAGGCGACCAACTCGCTCTGCTGTATGCGAAGGCGCTGCTCCAGCGCAACAAGGTCGTTTTGCAAAGTCTCCTCAGCGATACTCCTGCGACTGGGTGGTGGGAGCTTGGCAATGTCGTCCTTGAGCTTCTCAGCCATTCGCTGTAGATTCTCTATTTCCTGCTCCTCGAATCGTCGGGAACCACCCTTGCCTTCCGGTAACCGACCACCAGACATCTGACCGGTTTTGTGGATCACGTATCCCTGTAGGGTAACTGCCTTCACTGGAATCTTGCGGTTGTAGACAATGTCTTTCGCAATTTCCAAGGTGTCACATACCACGGATCCTCCGCAAGCATAGGCAATAGCACGCTCGAGCGAGGGATCAAAGTCGACGGTGTCGATGGTGAGTCGGGCGCCATGGATGCCCTTGACGGCCGAGTTGGACGTATTGACCTTGATGTTGTCCAGTGGAATGAAGGTGATCGGAGGGAAGCGCTGATCCTTGAGATACTGAACACAGTCCAAACTTGTCTTCTCCGTGTCGACCACGACGGCATCGAACTCGCGGCCCAGGGCGGTAATAACGGCTTCGTCATACTTCTTCTGCTTGGGTCTGCAAAGTTCACCGACGCGGCCACGAACACCGGGATATATCCGCTTCAGATCGCTGACCATGTTGCGCATCTTAAGCTCCTTCTCGTTCTGCCTCCGCCCTAGCTCGGCCTCCTCCAGCCTCCTCAAAACATCGCGGAGCTTCTCCTCGAGCTCAGTATGCGTGTTGTTAATCCTAATGCGCTCCGACTGCATGCTGTTGAACTCTTTCTTCTTGGAATCGATCTCGCTCGTGATCTGGAGGACCGAGTCCTGGCAGGCGTCCCGACGCTCTTTGATGGTCTGGACTTCACTCTGCAGCTTCTCGATCGTCGCCTCGAAGCTGTCAATCTTGCCCTTCAGGCTGTTGACCGTCACCTCGTCGCCTTTCAATTGCCGTTCCAGGTTGGCAAGCTTGGCTCGGTTATCAGATGTCTTCCTCATAACCTCAGCCTGGAGGGCGGTGTACTCCCTGCGATCAGCATCGCTGAGCTCCTTTCCCTGTTTCTTTACTGTTTCAGCCCACTGCTTTTCGAACTGTTGCTGAGCTTTCTCGACTGTGGCCAGGTCCTTCTTCAGCTTTTGAATAACCTCGGACTTTTCGTCCCTGTCCTTCTTGACATCGGCAAGGCGCTTCCGCAACATTACGGCCTCCTGAGAACTCTGGGTGATTTTCTCGTCGACGGGGACGAGCATGTTATTTCGGTCATCGATGCTTCTTTGCTTCTCATGTATGTTTCTCTCGATCTTGGCGACCTCGCGACCAACGGCGAGCTGCTCCTTGCGCGCAGCATCTAGCTTCTTCTCATAGGCCTCCACGTTACGGCGGAACTCCTTGAGGTTCTCCTGGTGCTCCTGGATTCGTGCACTCGACTCGACCATGACGCGTTGGAAGTGGTACAACTTCCAGAGGATATGGGCGATGATGGCCTTGTCCCTCTCTTCGCTTGCTTTTTGGAATTTCTCGGCCTCTTGTTTCTGTTCCATATATTGCTTGATCTCAGAGTTCGCAGCGCGACGTCTCTGCAGCTTGTAGGCCTGTTCTTCTGTGGCCTGCCGGACCTCCTCTTCCAGCCTCTCATACTCTTCCTTGTACTCGAGGCTTCCCGAGATCTGCTCGATCAACCTGGTGAGATCCTGAGGTGACTGGGAGGCAATTGCTTCGACGTCGCCCTGAAAGACAAGGAAGTTACGCGCCTTGATCAGGATGTTCTCTTTCTCGAGAGCTTCGTTGTACTGCTGGGCGTTCACAACGCGGTCGTTGATGCGGTATTCGCTGGTGCCGTTGGCCGTAATGGTGCGCTTCCACCGGTGCAACTCCCCAGCATCGTCCTCGTACACGGCCATAACCCATGCGGTCTTGGGATCATTGCGGGAGGTCCGCTGGGAGGTATCCTCGTCGTCGCCAGCGTCGCCGTTCTCGTAGCCGTTGACATCGCCGTTGGTAGCCGGGGCAGTGGTTCCATCGTCCTGTATCTTTGAGGTCTTCATCACCCGGCCACGGTAGATGAGGTCGCGGAGGTTGCTGGATCGTAGGTGGGAAGATTTGATACCCAGGACGAAAGAGATGGCGTCCATGCTAAGATGGGCGAAAGGCGCGTCAGCACCTGGGTACAATAGCAAGCGCAGCCATGTTCACAACTCACGAATTAGATTTCCCTGAGCCATTGGGGCCGATGATGGATGTGAAGTATGAATCCCCGAATAGAAGGGTGTGGTGGCCCTTGTAGGACTTAAAGTCTAGCGAAAAGCGGGACGGTAAGTTTCTGAAGTGGTTTTATACGAGCGACTGAAGATCTGATGGCACATACTGAAAAGCTCGAGACGTATGAGCTTCCCCATAGCGGCGGTTGCTCCAGCGCGCGGAGCTGAGTAGTGCGCTGTTTGCTCTGCGTTGGCCTGACGTGTAATAAAGGTCTAGGGTCAAGACAAGGAGGGACGGGCAGGGACAAACAGTGCTGACATAGAAGTATGCAGACGGCGCTGGATTGGACCTAGGGATACTTTTGTAGACGTCAAACGGCGCGTGGATTCGGGCTGCGCGCCGGGAGATGGATGAGCGTGGGTGGTTGATCGCGTCGAGTCCCGCCGGCGATGGTATCGCGACTGGCCGTGAATTTGCTTCGCGACTGGCGTCGATGGTGGGGAGCAGGGTCTCGTGTGGTGCGACACGTCAGGCACATGGCACGGGTTGGGGTTAGGGTTAGGGTCTGTAAAGACAAATGTCGCCTGGGGCTGAAATGCCCCACTCCGGATTTCCACTTGAGACGAAACAGTGCGTCTTCCAAAAGTGTCTAAGAGTTTACTGTTATGTCAATGTCGTATATCAAGATGATGGCACTACAAGTTATTTTTTTTTCATGACAACGCGTTTGGAGGTTTTGGTGTTCTTTGGAAGTTGGGCTAACTACCGGATTACTAGGTACGTACCTATCATACATGAGCCTGGAGTTGGTGGGATCCATAATGTCAAACGCCCCTAGCATCCTACTCTACAACAGGACCATCAAAGTTAAATCCATTTTTCCCAGGATCTTTCTAATTTCGGCGGCATTACTACAATCTGGTGTCTCAGGGGCATTTTCCCGACACGGAATTCTCAATTCCAAACATGTTTTGTGTGACTTGCAAGCTGCCTCCCAGAGGCTGGGCTCTCATTCTGCCACGCCAAGCTCAGCTCATCAAGGCAGCGGCCGGGGGTGTTGTGAGCTTTGTAGTTCGTGGTTCCGTGAACGTGACGCACGTCAACAAAGTGTCTCCATTTTTTTCTTCCGTGGCTGCAACCCACTGAGCCCAGCTCCCTGCATGTGCATCACAAGCCCCAGTTGCTCACAAGCTACCCTTTTCCCCCACAGCGCCAGGCAGCTCACCACCATCACCACCGAGGTTGATCTGGGGCTGCCATATCCGCTGGTCACCTGGTCTCTCGATTATTTTGGGCTGCGATTCCCCAGAGAATTTGGCTCACGTATTACCTATCTTTTCCTTTTTTAGCGTCGAAGGCGCCGCTGCAACTTGCGTGATTCACTATATCTTCTATTCGCCCACTTCTTTGATCTTAAGTGGTTGACGGCTCAGAAAGGTGCTAATTAATAAAAGCATGTAAGTCGCTGCACAGCTTTGATACGCACATCCTGCGCAAATCCGTTTGCATTGCATGTTTATCTGCCTTGGGCCTCGCCGCCTTTTCATGAAATCTGTCCTCAGCCCACTTCTCTTGCTCTTCTCTCTCGTGAAACGCCCTCAAGACATTTTGTGGCCTTCTGGGAGCTTGATGACTGACACCTCTCCTGCTGGTAGCCCTTATCACATCGCTCCAGCAGCCTAAAACGTTGACAACACCAAGGCTGCCACATTGCACACGTCGTCGATATGACAGAGCCAGAAAATAACAGCGCCCCTCAGCAGGGCAGCGGTAATCGCAGCAGCAGCAGCAGCACGAGCAGCGACAGCAGCATGTCCATAAACAGCAACAAGTGGGAGGGCGCATCCACCGACGGCGAGGCCATCCCAACCCCCGACCTCGTCGACACTTCCCCCGAGGACGACATCCACGACAGCCCCGATGTCCAGTCGAACGCCGATACCGTCGAGCATGGCATCGAAACACCGACTCTCGGCCCATCGCCGGCCCCGAAGAGCCCCCGTCTCTCGCGCAAGTCGTCCTTCTCCGGCAGCAGTTCGTACCAAGAGGACTTTGATCCTCTTCCGCCGCTAGAGCGCTTGGGCGTGCTCGACCTGCTCGACAACCTCGCCCTGACGCAACAGCTCGAGAAGATCCAGCGTGGCATCTCTGCACAGAAGGAAAAGGTTCGCAGATCCAAGGAAGCCCTCGAGCATAAGAGCCGCCTGGCTCGCGATCGTATGGTCGACGAGTGGCGCCGTCGCATCCCCTCTGCCGAAGAGCAACTGGAGCGCTATCGCAAACGAATGCGCGCTAGTGTCGAGAAGGTTAGCCGTCGCTGGAATGATACTAAATCCATCACACTGCGCGAAAAGATCTCGTTCATCTGCGGCGTGATGAACATCTTCATCTCCGGCTACCTAATTGGCGGTTGGCCCGAGATCTTCCATATCTGGTACACCGTCCAGTTGCTCTACTTCCTGCCGATACGCTTCTTCGACTACCGCCGGCGCGGTTGGCATTACTTCCTTGCCGACCTCTGCTACTTTGTTAATATGCTTCTGATCCTTAGCATATGGCTCTTCCCGCAGTCAAAGCGGCTCTTCCTGGCTGCTTACTGTCTTGCCTACGGCAACAATGCCATCGCCATCATCATGTGGCGCAACTCTCTAGTTTTTCACTCAATGGACAAAGTCACTTCGCTCTTTATCCATATCATGCCTTGCTCCACGCTCCATTGCATCGTCCACCTTATCCCCGAAACCTTCCGCGCCGCGAGATTCCCCGCCGTTTACGCCATCCAAACCTCGCCGCCAGGCACGAAACCCTCCTCCTACACGAACCTGCTCTCCATGCTCGGCTGGTCTACCCTCCCCTACGCCTTCTGGCAACTCCTCTACTACATCTTTATCACGGTCCGGCGCCGTGACAAGATTGCAGCAGGCCGCCCCACCTCGTTTACCTGGCTGCGCAAGTCCTACAGCAAGGTCTGGATCGGCCGGGTGGTGCTCTCTCTGCCAGAAGTCCTCCAGGAACCAGCCTTTATGATGATCCAGTACATCTACGCCGTGCTCACCATGCTTCCCTGCCCCATCTGGTTTTATCACCGCTGGGGCTCGGCAGCTTTTCTGATGGTCGTGTTTGGCTGGTCGGTATACAACGGGAGCACGTACTATATCGATGTGTTTGGACGGAGGTTTCAGAAGGAGTTGGAGGCTATGAAGGCGGAGGTTGCGAAGTGGCAGAATAATGGTGTGCCCGAGGGCGGGCCAGGTATGGTGATTGGTAGTGGCAATGGGACGTCGGAGGCTGCTACGGAGGAGGGCAAGAAGGAGGAGGAGGAGGAGGAGGCTGCTGGTGCGATGTCGGGCAGTGTGCCGGAAAAGGATCCGCCTAGCAGTGAGGATGGTCAGCGCCCGGCTGCTGTCGTGGCCACGGGTGCTGAGACTAGCAGCGGAGAGCCAAGGGAGAGGAAGCCTCAGCCCGTGGCGACGCAAGGGGAGTCATAGCAAGACCCCAGTCGCTCGCTTCTTGTCGTTTGCTCTTGATCAGAGTCTTCTTTTTTTTTTTTTTGTTAATTCTTTTAGTTTTCCCGTTGCTTTGGGTCGCTTAGGGTCAGGGTTCTTTTGATACCATACAGTCGAGTCAGGAAAAGGAAAAAAAGATGGGTGTTCTTGATAATGCCCCCCAACACAGATATGTTCATTTATACCGTGGTTTGGTTGTTGAACGGGAGCCTAATGAGTGAGAGGAGACTATGAGATGGAACACAGGAAGCCAGTCTTAGTGGCTACAGTTGCAGTTTCTGTTCATAGAAGTATCCAGATGTTTTGCAGGTTCTCATGTCTTTCTCGAGGCTGGTCAACGGGCAGCATCCTTGCCGACATGTCTGTCTTGTGACCTGAGTTAGATGACTATGTTGGCTACAGGAAGGTACCCATCCCCCTCTCTTGTATTGAACACACTATTGAACACACTGAAACAGCCACTTTGTATGACTATCATTCCTTCCTGGAGACAGTAGTAAAAGCTATCCAATAGGAATTGATACCCCAAATCAAATTCCATGGTCCACATACCTACTTGAAGCAGAAAGTTTGCTTAAATCGTGAACCTGTCCCCGCGGGAAAGTTGTTGGGTATCATAAGATTCAATCAGAGAAGGCTCAATTGTCCGATCTCAAGTGGCAAAAAAAAAAAAAAAAAGCTCTGTCGTTACTTACCTAGATTATCTTAAAGCGCTCATTTAAGCCTGCTATTATATAACAAAGATTACGAGTCAAATCTCATATCTCTCATCTTGCATGCTTGTTTTTCCAAGAGGAGCTTTACTATAAGATCACACCACATACGACCGTGAAACGCACATCACTGTGATCCATTAAAGGTTATGTATTGCTTTGTTGCTTGCTCAGGGCAAATCACTGCAATGAATCTGATCCTATGTTAGCCCACGAACAACATCCATTCCATTCCTGTACCATCCTTCATCCTGACCCTTAATGTGTTTGGACCACCTAAACCTGTAACTCCCCTTATCCTCTTGTGGTACCCGCCCAATCCAAGTGTGAACTGACCGTCATCGCCCTTCCTGAATCCACAAAACGCCGCCCAGAGCAAGATGAAGAAACCCAAGACATGGAAGAGGAAGAAAAAAACACACACACACAAAGGAAATGTTGGCAAGAGAATGTCGTCGTCGTCGGTCGTCGATGAGAATTCCTTGGAACTAAAAAAAAAAAAAAAGTTAAAATGAGAATGAAAACGAAATGAAAAGAGTGCCACCCTCAACTCCATAAATCCCGCCGAGATGCCCAAAGTATTATTACCTATGTATCTGACTCCTCCGCCCACCCCCCCCCCCACTCCTTAAAAAATGAACTCTAATTCCCATAGTGAAATCAGCGAATAACAGGCATCTGAATCCCATCACTCCCATCTAGCTTATGCACCACCCGCTTATTAAACACTTCCCAGAACCTGAGCGTCTCATCTCCCGCGCCTGTCACGACCGACCTCCCGTCTGGGCTCATGGCCAGGTACAGCACGCGATATGTGTGTCCAGTCAAGCTCGCGACCTGGGTCATGGACGGGTACTTCCAGATGACGAGCTGGTTCTGCGAGTAGCCGTGCGTTGAGACGATCTCATTCGAGTTCTTGCTCCACATGATGTTGCAGACCTGGCTGCCCGTGTCGATGTCGTTCTTGACGATGCCACGTACCGTGTCGTGGAAGATGATGCGGCGGTCGGCGGTACCGCCGCCGGAGGCGAGGAGACCTCGTTGATGAGGAGACCAGGCGAGGGCCTTGACGGCGGCCTTGTGCTGTGAAAACATCCAGAGTGGTTCCTCGGAAAGCTTGTCCCATACCATGACGAGGTTATCGTTGGAGCCGCTTGCGAGTTGGTTCGTCTGGGTGTTCCACTTGAGGCCGCAAACTTCCTGTTTGTGGCCGACGAGTCGGCGGAGCCATTGGTCAGGGGCGCGCACGTCGCGATGGTATATGTGCCGGTCTCTTGAGCCGGTGCTGAGAATGTGGGCGTTCCATGCGAGTGAGCCGACGCGACCGGTGTGGCCGGTCATGGTTCGTAAGCGCTTGCAGCGCGCTGCATCCCAAATCTGGACGAGACCTTTCTTCGTGCCAATGGCGAGGTGGTTGCCGTTCTCAATCCACGATACGCTGGTAATCTTGTCATCCTCGAGCGTGCATAACCTGCTGGCTTTGCTGGTTTGCGCGTTGTACATGAACACGCTGGAGTCCAGGCCGACGGCGAGAATGTTCGTGCCCCCCCAGTCGAGCAAGTTCAAATAGAAGTCGTCGACAAGTCCTGGGGCGTCGAGGACCTTGAAGGGCACTTTGCTGACCACTCGTTGCATGCGCCGCGGGGCTAGGAGCATCCGTTGGGTGCTGTACCGGAAGGGGGTGAGATTATAGCCCTCGGATGTCACATCGAAATTTCGGCTCTCTCGGCTTTGAGGCGTTCCTGAAGGCGTAAGATGGTAGGGGCTGTTGTAAACGAAAAGATTCTTCTGTGGAGTGCTTGGGGTATACATGGAAGGGCGAGGTTGGGCTGGGACTTTGGGAGGGGTGTAAGGTCCCTGATCGGACACGGGTGATATCACCGGAACCGTGTCATCAAACATTTCATGCCGTAGCACGTGGAAGAAGGCTTGGTTGGCTTCTTGCGCTGAATGAGGTTAGCAATGACCTCGAACCAGACAGGCAAATATCAGACCACTTACTCTTTTGGGAGAGCTCCTTCTGAGGCGTTCTCCCCTTTTGCCGCGAGGGAGTCGCTGGGTCAGTGGGTGGTTGAAGCAGGCGGAAGCCGGAAGACAGATCGCGACCCGATCGCGTGGGAATGAAGCTTGAACCGGGAGTCAGCAGCATGTTCCACAGCAGAAGAGGCACGCTCAGAGCACTCCCAAAACATACCGGTCTCCTGTTATCCTTTGTCGTTTCCTATGCGGACTGGCACCAGGAGTCACCTGCCGCCCGACTACCCTCCGCGAGACATTGGCAACAGCATCCTCGAGCTCCGTCGCTGGTGTTGCGTTAAGAAGAGCCTTCGAGGAGCTCTCGCCGCGGATCTTCGGCGGCCTGGGTGACAGAGGTGGTACGGCGGGGGAGGGCGATCTGGGTATCCTAGTTTGCCGGGCCAGGGCCTCTGCGCGCCTCTGAAGAATAGCCTCTGGCGGCATATCGGGAGTCTGTTCGCGATGTCTCTGACGCGATGGCTCCGGTCGGGCGTGGCTATGATGGCAATTGTCGCTGTAGGCGGGATATGCATGACTATTTCCAGGGGCTGCCGACACCGATGCTCTTCTTGCGCTGCTGCGGGAGACTGAAGACCCGCCTGGAGCGGGATGATTGGATCCCATGGTGAATGGTTGATGTCAGGCAGTCAATCGGCCGGCCTGGCGACTCTGTGCTGAAAGAAAACAAAGAAAAGTTGCGGTCGGCTCCGCTGTGCGCACAGGTGCAAGCAAGTCAATCAGAAACTTTGCTGCGGCTTGCCGGGAGGTCGGTTGAGGGGCCCAGGCGGGGCTAGAGTGTCGGAACAGGCACGAGCAAGCGATATTTCTGTTGCGCGGTTTTGCTTGCTCTGGCTTGCTGTCGATCAAGGTTGGTTGGTGTTTTCGTGCCTGGGGGTTTAACCAACGGGAATCCGGGAAGAACGGAGGGATGCTGGTGGGTGAGAAATCAATCAACTCAGCGATAGCGCGTGCGTGTAAAACAATCAAACAGCTGCAGGGACGGCTGGGATCGCGAAAACTCTGGCTGCTGCGCTGCTTTCACGAATGCGAGTTGGCTGGTGAGACAGCGATGGCGACGGCAACAACAACAACAGCGGGGCACAGAGCAACGGCGGTAACCAGGGCGCGGGCGCGGCAGAGCAGATGATTCGACAGCAGCTTGGACTCTGTTGCAGACAATTCTACAAGCGTCTGTTTGCTGTACGAAACGTTGCCGCTCATCAGAAGTCGGCCGGCGACAGCAATAGTGGCGATACCGACGCGGCTGCAGGTGTGGTGGTGAGGGTTACGCGTCTTGAGCGTCAAGGGTGGAGGGTTAGCTGAAGGCGAGACTGAGATTGATGACGGGGAGAGCGGGAACGGGAACCTGGAATGAGTTTGGAGGGCGCAAAGAGGGTACCTGCCACCCCTTGAGAAGGCCTGCTAGCGGATTCGGTGGGGACGGGTCCCATGAGATGTTTTCATTGACAGTATCTTTACGTTACTGATAATTTCGTACAAGCAATTACGTGCTTGGACACAATCGTAAGCTACAATGACGAGCATTATTGGTTTGATATTATGTAGTCTTTATCCCCTGTTACAAATATTACACGGTCAGTACAGCCGTTTCAAAACAGACATACTGCTAGCGAAAATTGCGGAATACGGAGCGGGAACAAGTAGCACTCGCTGGCTGATTTGCCCTTCTCTTTTTGGGCCAGCGACCCCTGCCTGCTCACTCCATCAAATATCAGCCCGCGCTTTGCATGCTAAACTGACAGCTGGGTTTGTGGATCTTGGCAATCCAACGATGATGACGACGATGCAGTCTTCACTGGCATTGTCTTGATCTCATGGAGAGAATGATCGATGAACTGGAAGCCATTCTCTCAGGTCACTACCAATGGGACGCTGACTTGGAAGCTACCATTGGTACGATTCTACATCCTTCTAAAGCCATGCCAGGCTTGTCACCTGGCTCATTCATAAATTGTGGGCGGGCTTGATTTTGACCTCAACATAGACGCATCCCACCTTTTATGTACTTATCATTGATGATCCCAGCCTCTCACATCGTCTCCAAGACACAGCATCTGTATGTACAGCTGCAACAACAGCCGCCCACTCCACAATCTTGCATGCCTACCCGGTACCTAGGACGGATCCGGAGGTATCATTCTGTGGGATCTGTAAGGGACACTACGCTCAACCTAGCCCAGTAAGCAACCAAATTAACAAATATCTCCCTCCAACCAGGCTCTTCGCTATAATTTGGATCACCTTCGAGACAACACGCCACGGGAGCTCAGCTCAACTGGCTGCAAGACCCTACTTACCTCGCAGCCGGCTGCTCCCTTGGAAGCAGAAGTGCACAGCTGGCGGCAGCAGTTCTCCGGATTGGGCGATGGCATTTGTTGTTGTTTACATTGTTTCTTTCCTTGTCGTTCCGTCGCGCCGGGCAGCGCTATGATTGGGGGAGACCGCCTTAGGCAGGCAGGTGGAGCATTCCCTGGGCGATTGAGAGCCAACAGTTGGTCGGCACACGCCCTTCCCGAAGCCACCCCACGCGTCTTGGTCGTGTCGGCGATGGCGACGGCCAAGAGACTCTCTTGCATTCTGTATGACCGCCGCCCCGCTTTTGGCAAGTCTCAAGTCAAGCTCAAGTTTAACCCCGCATTTCACTATCGAGACGATGATGATGACGATGATGATGATGCTCCAAAAAAAAAAAAAAACTTAAGCAAAAACTTGGCATAAGTCTATCCTCGCAAAATTGCCGCAGCATCCTGATAGAAAAAAAAAATCTGATCCACAGCCCTGACAGAGAGACGCTTCTCTTGTGCTCTGCCATTATCAGTCTCGTACAATCTGCCGGCACATCTTCTCTGCCACATCCCACCACAAGCTTGGTTTCTACCCCGCTCTCTGCTACTTAGACCCTGCTCCAACCCAAGGCGTCTGGGACATGTGACACAACCTTTGTCTAACATCCGGCTTTTTATCGCACCTATCGACCTTGAGGGCACATTGAGACCACGTGGTTGACCAAATGGTTGGTGGTCACGTCGATGAGAGCCTGAGTTACCACTTACCAGGACCGCTTGCCAGATAATGTGCAACCACTGCTCGCTCACTTCTCTTCCGTTTGGATGTTGTCCCTAGAAAGACGGCCTGCTATAGTCTCAGTCTCGATGACACACGCTTGCAGCTCTCTCGTGAAGCATGACATGTGACACAGGAACTTGCTTCTTACACAAGCGTTGACCATAGCATAATATCGCCAAGGACCATATAGGCAATCATCTAGATCACCACAGAGCAGAATGCAGTGTACTGCTGGCAAACGTATCCCGTGGCCAAATTATGTTCCATACAAGCGCCAGGGGTATCGTGCACGTCGAAGCCTGAACCCGATAAAACTCTCTGTCTTTACTTCACCATAAAGCTTCATCGACCAGCGTTGCCAAAGAGAATTTTTCAAAGCCAACCCTCCCTCACCGTACTCTCAATCATACTGAAATAACGAGCTCATACTCTCCCCATGGTGCACCCTCCTTATAGCCTCCGCAAACGCCCCACTAACATCCAGCACCTCCAGCTTGCTACACGCTCTGCGATTCCGCTCCTGCGGCACCGTATTTGTCACAATGATGCGGTCCAACGCATCGGTCGCGTTGATGCGGGCTATCGCATCTCCGCTTAGCACGCCGTGTGTCAGCAGCGCAATGACCCGTGTGGCCCGGCCCTCCCGCTTGAGCAGCTTAGCTGCGCGGGTGATGGTGAATGCTGTGTCCACCAGGTCGTCGATGAGGATGCACGTGCGGCCGGCTACGTTGCCGACTAGCATCATGGTTGGGCCGGGGGGTTGGGTGATTTGAGGAGGCCGGCGTTCTGAACGGAGGTGAGTACTTGGTGCTCGTAGGGCGTATCTTAGGTGGTCCTACCTTTGTGAATGAGTGCCAACGGCAGCCCGAGACTGTCGGCGACGGCGGTCGCGCGCTTAGCACCGCCAGCATCGGGGCTGACGATGACTGCGTCTCGCCAGTTGGGGATGTGATGGACGATGTAGCGTTGCAGAATGGATCGCGCCCGCAGGTTGTCGACTATGGAGCGTCAGTCGGTGGTCATCTCTAGTCGAGAAGATTCTCTATGAAGTAGGAAGTGTCAGGGAATCCCACCAGGAATGTCAAAGAACCCCTGATATGCATTCTCATGTAAGTCACATGTTAAGATCCGGTCCGCCCCCGCACATGTCAACAAATCTGCAATCAACGACCCCGACTGTGCCATAAACTGCTTATGCCCTGAGCGGGCCTGCAGAGCCATCATCAGCGCCGGATTCTCATAGTCGTGCGTAGTATAATATTGCGGCTTAGCCGGTGACGCCCACCCAGGAGTGGCCTTCGTCCCTTCACCACCTGCATCCCCATTGTTATTACTCCCCGCTTTCTCCTCCCCCGATCCTCCCTCCCTGCCTGCCTCCGCCAACCTAGGATTCCCGCCAACCAGCGGTGCCCCGACCTTAGAGAATGGCAGATCCGGCTGGCGCGAGTAAGGAAACAGTGGCAGCACGGCAGTCACCCGCTTAGCCGAACCCGTCTTGCACGCCGAAATCATGATGCAGAGCTCGACGAAATAGTCGTTTACTGTATACCCGCCACTGCTGTTGCCATCGCTACCACCACTCCCTGAATTGGGGGGAACACCCTCTCCGCCGACGCCAAAGGTCTGGATGATGTAAACGTCCTTGCCGCGGACGGAGTCGCGGATTTCGCAGCGGGTTTCGCCGCATGAGAATTTGGTCAGGAGACGGGCGGCCGGCGCGATGCCGAGCATCTCGCAGATGGAGTCGACGAAGCCCGGGTGGGAGGACCCCGAGAGGATGGCGATGTTGCGAACCATTATTGTTGGATTTGGGAAGGTATGGGATTGGGAGATTCAGAGAGCTTGGTGACTTAAGGAATGTACGTATATCTGGCTGGGTTGGTGGTATTGAGAGGATCGAACAGGAGAAGCTGTTTGAGCTGTTGGGTATAAGGGGGTTGCCAAGGTGAAGTCGTTGGACTATGGCGCTGTTGAAGAGATGGAAGATGCGATGAGGGTTTGGAAAGGCACAACGCAGCCTGAAAGTCGAGCAGCGAAATTGTATGGTTTCAGCACAAAAGTTGTGTAATCCAGCAGGCAACTGGAACTACCACGGCGACACAAGCGAAGGGAAGATATTCATTCCACCTTGAAAGATCTCTTCCTGCAAATCAGTTCTCCAAGTCCTCAAAGCAAAAGTGGTACCAGATAAAAAACGAGAACCTTCACAAGTGAACCGGACCGGGTAACTAAGATATAACCCCCAAGAAAAAAAAACCCCAAATCGTATAAAATCAACCTGGTGAATGGAATGGAATGGGGAAGGAACCTAAGCATGCATCATAATCGCGGGGCCAGACAAGCAGAAAATCTCCAGTCAGATCAGGTCACAACAGCAACTATTGGGCACCGAGACATGAGGAGCGGCGGGTACTTAAGGAAGGGCGGAAGGTACGAACAAAGGTTAATGGAAGAAACCGTTTCGCTCGGCGTCTACCACAGTACACATTGCTCACCTCACCTTGCTTTGGCCCCGTCGTGTCGTTTCGTGCTGTGTCCGACGCTATCCGTTGCAAACGGGAAACCTCTCCGAACCAGTGATGAGCGGCAGGAAAATAACTCCTCTTCCCACCTCTAGCTGCAACTTGCAAGGACATGACTGACTGGGACGGATGCTGCGGGACCGGGGGCCGGCGACACCGCCCGCCCAGAAGGTAGGTTCGGATCGGTAACTATCGACACAGCATCGCAGCAGGAAAAGAAAGCTATGTCTGTGTACCGCCTACGATACTAGATGACGTTGCAGGACGGCTAGCTTTTAAAAGATAAAAGTAGAACATGAATTAGGGACACTATACGCATCCATCTCCGGTTTAATCAAAGTCTTTGAAATATCTTCTTCAACCCCAACGGGCTTGGCCGCCGGCGGCATGCAACATCAGGTACCTAGCATGTACAGTCCTGCAGAACGTAGACCGGCAGGGAACGTTGTGGTCAACCCAGGTTTATTGGGTATCCAGCACATGCACGCTTCTTCCTCTCTTATAGAGCCCTGGAAGTCCCAGGCAGAGAGACTTGCTATCGGACGGACCGAAGAATACCGCTGGTAGCAGACCTGTCCTTTACGCAGCACAGCGGGGTCGAGGCCCATATGGCAAGGGTGACACCTCAGCACTGGGATTGGACAAGCAAGGGACGAATGACAGACTTTAAGCTGCTTGGCTTGGGTATTACAGATGACACGGAATGGGACGTACGCCACCAGTCCACAGCTTGCATCTGCAAGCTGTACAAGTAGGCTGTGCTGCAGCTGCAAGATCACGGGCCGGGAGCTCTGCAGCTTTGTGCGTTCGGAGGAGCCCGTGAAGGACCTTGCTGATTGCTTGAAACCCCTTTACCTACCCCTCCCTCCCCTCCCTTATGGACCATCACCGCTTGTGATGGAATAGCAACAACACCAGTGGTCACAACCTAAACAACAGATCGCAAAATAGGCGTCTCTGGCAACGACAACGGTCTCCATTTTGTATCGAATGGCTCTAAACTAAGGCCATAAGCCAGCAAAACGAACAAAGACTCTATCAATAGAAAGGTACACATCAAAATTTGTACCTTTGAAAAGCAACAAACTGAGCTAGACGAGCGTTAAGTTGCTCAAAGGCAATTCAGACTCTCCTCTCGACTCACTCCCTCCCATACCCCGAAACTCACTCCTTACAGACCCAGCAGAGCCTTGGCACCGGGCTCGCTGCACACATAGATGACCTCATGCTCGTTAGAGAAGCCATTGAAGGTAGTGGCCGAGCACTTGGTGTAGGCACCCATGTCCTCGAAGTACAGCCAGTCGCCAATATCAATCTCGCGCGCGAAGCGGATGCGCTCCGAGATGCGGTCAATGCCATCACAGGTCGGGCCCCAAATGCTGTACTCAATGCCTGACTCATCGTTGTCATCGACGGCTTCGGCGGCCGGGGTGTTGTAGAGGAAGCGGCCGCCCGACAGCAGAATCTTGGCGACAGGGTGCTGGTGGTCGAACATGATGCTGCTGAAGTTACCATAGAGACCATCGTTGAGGTACAGCATGTAGCTGTTCGAGGATACGTCCTGGATGGTGCGGCGAGCAATCACGTTACAGGCCAGCGTGAAGGCCGACGAGGCGTAGAAGCGACCGGGCTCGGCAATAATGTTGACACCCGAGTGGGCCGGGAAGTACTCATCGAGCGCAACACGCAGAACTCCGGCCATATCTTCGAAGGAATTGTCGCTGCAAAAGCCGCCGCCAACGTCGAGAGTCTTGAGGCAAAAACCATGGGCAGCGGCCTGCTGGAAGACGACATGGGCATCCTGGACGGCCTTCAGGAAGGCGTTAGGGTCGGAGGCGCCAGAGCCAACGTGGAAGCTGACGCCCACGACGTTGAGGCCCAGCTCGCGGGCCAGGGCCAGTAGGCCGTCGGTCGAGTCAAGCGACGCGCCAAACTTGAGGCTCAGGCGGCACAGTGACGACGAATCGTCCGTCAGAATCCGCAGGAAGAGCTCCGCGCCAGGGTACAAACGAGCAATCTTGCGGAGCTCGTCGGTGTTGTCGAAGGTCATCTGGCGCACGCCCTGGCTAGCGACATAGCGCAGGTACGAGTTGGTCTTGCAGGGCTGCGCATAGATGATCCGCTCGGGTTCGACCCCCAGTTTCAGGACCTGCTCAATCTCGGCCTTGGAGGCGCAGTCGAAGCCGGTGCCGAGGGCGGACAGCAGCTCCAGGAGTTTGTTGTCCGGGTTGCACTTGACGGCTAGAGATATGTCAGCAGGCACCTCGATGTCACGAAGTCAGATGCACACAATCTTACCATAGAACGGCTTGACGCGCGGCAGGTTCTTCTTCCAGCGCATGTGCTGGCGGTAGACCTCGCCGAGGTCGGCAACGAAAAATGTATCCTCCTCACCGGGCTCGCAGAACTCATGGTCGATGCTCTCCACGCGAGCGCGCAGAGCCTCGCCAATGAGCGCCTTAGCCCGCTGCTTAGCCTTTAGTCCGTCATCGTGTTCGTCAAAGACTTGCTGACTGTTGTAGTCAACAAAGCCATTGGTACTACAGCTCTTTAAAAAGACATGATTGTTCGTATATTCCGTGTATTCGAGCGGTACGAAACGTTCCGAGACAACCGTTGGCATAACCATATCCCACGATTTAGCGAAGGGGGAAGATGGATAAAAAGGGTTTCTTTTGCTGACGCGTTAACTTTGGATCGAGCTGGACGGACGAGAGGTAATTGCTTGTTGCTAGCGAGGTCGGCTTGTCAAAAGAAACTCGTTGACAAGATGGCTAGTAGCTGTTTATTAGTCGGTTGATGGCACGAGAGCGCAAGCAGGTCCTAAGGGGGTCGATGTCGGAAGCGGACGATTCCCTGGTCGGTCTGACGAGACTTCGTCGACTCTTCCTCGGTAAGAGGAAGAACCGCGCAACTCGTCCTATGCGGCAGCTGGTTGTGGGAGACGAGCTCGGGGTGGTGGTGATGGAGGGAGAAGTCGAACAAAAAGAGCTCGATTTCCCTAGTAGCCGACCTCAGCAGGGGGCGGGACCACGTTGATGATGTGGAACGTCTTTCGGAGGCTGAAATCTTCGTCCGAAACGAGCTTCACGGCCGAGGAAGCCGTGGTGCAGAGGGGTGCCTTTGAGAAGACCAAAGGCGAGTCGTCGACGAGGAGTCGGGGCGACAAAACCGGAGAGTTTTGTGGCGAGTTTTTGCTGCTGTGGCCTTGAGACGAAAGCGAGCGTCAGTATCATCGTGAACAACCATGCTGCAGTAGCAGACGGCGCAACTCCTGCAGAGTGGCCATTCCCAACGACAACGCAGCAAAGCAACGGTCATCATCTCTCAACGGCAACGCAGACACGGGCACAGACAACGGCAACGGCAACGGGGAGAGGCGAGGACAGGGGACGCATTGGGACGCGGGCGCGGACGACGGGGAATGGGGACGAAAGACAGGCAGTAGTGGATGCTGGTGGTGTTCTGGGGCTGCGCGGCCAAGGACGACACATTGGATGGATTCCGGGTCGTACCCTTTACGGGTGGCGTTGCACAAGCCTCGACAAGGGAAATTGTCGATTGGACCTCACTTACAAAGGAGCGCTTTGGCAGCGAGTGTGCAGCAGGTGCAACAGCCAAACGACCCGGATCGTGCGAGTTTGCGATTCGCAGTCGAGGCGGAGTGCAGAGAACAGATTTCAGAGCGCTGGTCGAATGCGGTGTCGATGTGCGAGGAGGAAGTGCAAAGTTGAAAAAAAAAGGGCGCTGCTTGAGACCTGGGAGCTTTCCGCTTCTTAAGGAATTGGAGGTTGGAAATTGAGGGGCTTGCACTGGTGCGTGCAATCAATTGTGGGGCCACGGGACTTTTCGAGGGTTCGCCAATTTTTTTCTCGTTTTGATTTCCGAGCAGCCACGCGCACGAGCCATGCTTCCATCAGGGGGATCCACCACCCCTCCACCGCCATGCCGGTGATTCATCAAGAGGCCCAGTCCAGACCTAGCAAGGATCGGATGCCACCGAAAGCTTCTTACGAGCCACCAGCCGTGGACCCGAGGACACCAGGGAAACAAGAAGAATCTTACCAGTGACCATTCTACCCGGTCTCCTATCCCGGTGACGCCTGGCAACCAGGTGGCCACAGTTTCGTCGTCTTTGTGGCTGTGATGACAATTGATCCACTCACTCTCCCGTACTCCAATTCCCTCTAGCTGCCGCTGCTTGCTTGACAACGACAGTTGGCACCAGGCTTCTCTCTGTCCTGGTGCAAGGCGCCTGATAAATCATGGCTTGGACGTAAGAGTCTCCGGTTGAGTCATCTTATACCAGTATCCTCAGCCATCTGCTCTTCGCCACATATCACCTTCACCTCGCACAATTTCCCCCTCTCTCGCTTTGTCGCTCTCTTGCCAACCGTCTGGTGACTCGGTTGGCGAGCCGGCCAGCCATGTTGCGGAGGCCACCCGACTAACCCACAACCTGCGAGGTCTCGATGGAGTAGGAGAGGAGCAAGAGGGAAGAGGAGAAAGGGATCCTTTGTGACTTGTCCTTTTTTACAGTATCTCCGGGACCTGCCGGGCGTGGTCGACGGATCGAATGGACTGGGCGTTCCACGTTCCGGTGCCAGTCCCGTTTTCAAGCCGCAATTTGCGGTCTGCGGTAATACCAAAGCGGAAGCCGGAACCCTTCTTCCCCGCTACCTACACAGTAGGTACCTAGTATGGCCGCACACGCTCAAAATTTTGTTGCTTTCAACTTCTTGCGCTTGTTTCTTTCCAACACAATGCAAGAGGGAAACACAAAAGGGGGGTCCTCGACGGGATGAGGGGGAGGGGAACAAGTCCCATCTGCGGGTCCCTAGCCCGCCTCCAGGTCACGTTCCAGGACCACACAGCTAATCTGTCTAAAAAAACCAGTGATAGGTAGTCGAAATGGAGGTGGATGACGATGCGACATAGCGAAATAAATTAGCGCACCGGCAACTGAATGGAATTGAGCAAGGTGGGAAGGTAACTTAAGGTTGGATACCGTTCCCAAGCTTAGCCTGCAGCCTGGACGTACGTACCTTGGGTCTCTTCTCGCACTCGGGATCTGTCATTGAGTGCTTCCTATATGATGAAAGATGGTTGGGAGAAGAGGGGGCAGTGCAGGCGGCTGCTGACGAATTCCACATCTGCATGCTTGTTCAGATGAAGGGGGTGCATTGAAGGCACGAAATGTAGATAATGAGCGTCAGGCGAGATCTCGGCTGCTATTCGGTGACACCATTCCATCTGGAGGAGTGAAATGGACTGGCCGCTGTTATCTCACTTGCCACGCATGAGGCTGCTGGTTCTCTCCAACAAAAACTGCATTCCCACAGACGCGTAGAGAGTAGCGATACCTATGTCACGGCCCGCACCGTGATGCCATCATATTACAAAGGGACTGGCGGTGATGTAGCATTGAGAGGGATTGTTTGGACGGCCCTGCATCACTCGTGCCCCAGCACAAGTCTATTATTCCAAATAAAATAAGGTGACCGACCGCAACTGTTGGCTAATGGCTCTCTCGGCCCGTCTGCCAACCGACCACTCGGGGAAGAGCTGCAGTAAGCGCGCACGGATTTTTAAGATGTGCATGCCAAACCTACCGTGCATCGTGTATGTGCAGTGAGCTTGATATGTAAGGGAGACACACAAAAGTTGGGAACTCGGCTGACACGCTGGCATCTGAAGCTCCCTAATTGACTAATTTGCCATCTACTTGAAGGCATGTACTCCGTCCTCTAGTCCGCGAATCCAAAGCTGAGGAAGGCGGTTCTGATAAACGGGCCCCAGTCGACCATTTCCCGTAGTCGATTGCTGGGGGGTTTGCTCTTGCGTTGTGCAGTGGTCTCAAAGCCAGGTGCGTAAGGCAGTGAGACGTATCAAAATCAACGCGATGTCTGTTTCTTAAAGCAGTAAGCGCAAATTGGGAAAAGTATTACACACGCGTGGAACATGACAGGGCTTATGGTTGGATAAGTTGTGGCCAAACTAGTCAAGCACAAACTGAAAAAAGTTGTCCGATATCAGCAATGTAGTTGGCGGTGTGCTTTCGAACGGGATATTTGAAACGGGTATCATCAGTGTTGTGTTATACATAGCAATAATAATACAGATAGCTGCGGCGCGCTCGTCAACGGGCAGGACGAGTGATGTCCATCTCGTTCACCGTCCAGGTGTTGTCGACAAATTCGCGCTTTTCACCGAGGAATACGAGACGCTCCGACTGTTTCTCCAATGCCTCGACGATGTACTTTTGCGCGACTTCGCGGACCTGGTCCTTGGTGACATCGAGGAGCTGTTCGCGCCGCTTCTGCTTCATCTCTTCGGTGATGCCGTATACGAATGTGCTCATGCCTTCTTCATTCACGGCACGGGGAGCATCAACGCCCTGGAAAACTGAGATCTTGGCGTCTTCAAGGTCGCGGTCCGACCACTTCTTGTCAACGGCCCACCTGCCTGCGTTGCGCATGATATTGATGGTATTCACCGGATTGGGATCACGATAGGAGTAAAAGCCAAAGACGCCGTCGAGAGGACGCGAGTAGGCACCAGCGCCATAGGCGCCACCTTTCTCCCTAACTTCGTGATGCATGTGCTTGTGGGTCAGAAGGGATGCCAGGATAGAGAGCGGCGCGTTGTCTGCAGATGTGTATGACACAGTCGGCAGGGCAAGTGCGCCATAATACACCTGATATGGGAGTGGATAGAATGATTTAATGTTCCTCGAAAAGTCGATGGGCTTGCGAGCTGGAAAACTGGCTGGAGTCGACGGAAGGGACTGGAGGAACTGCGAGAGAGCTTGGACATTGTTGCCAACACTGTTACTATCGCATGTGATAGCAACTCGCATGGTGCCCGCGAAAGCAAGCTCTTGAATCCGCTTTAACTTCTCAATCACATCGCGGAACTGATCGGACTCTGGCCGGCTAGCAAGGCTCGTTACCAGCCGCACTTGCGTCAGGCCGCCAACCTGCTCCTTCAGCCAAGCGTCCATGGACAATCCAGCTTCAGCTGCTCTGCGGGCGTAGGCATGCCCAGAAGAGGCAATGTCGTTGACAACGCCATCAGCAGCAGCTTGCAGGAGCTGGCGGATCTGCTGAGGAGCTTCCGGGCTGTCAAAGTTCGTCTCAACCACAAGCTTGCGGAGGAGATCGAACATTACCGGGACGTTCCGGTCAAGAGCCATGCCGCTGAAGGCAATGCCCTCGACGGCCTGGGTAAAGTCCGTCGGACTTGAGGCAGAATGGTAACCGACTGACACACCACCAGTCTTGAGCTTGATCAAGTCCTCCAACTGTTCCATGGTCATGTCTTTGGTGCCAAGCCGCATGATGGAATCAGTGAACAACGGGACGAGGCTCCGAAGCTCATCAGGCAAGCTCTCCAAAGTGTTAATAGCACGGAAGTAAGTCAGACCGTTGGTGGGGGCCTCCCGCAGTTGGAGTTTGATAGTTCCAACTGTCTCGTGGCGCAACACAACCGGTTCTTTCTGTCGGGGGATGTCCTTGACATGAACGCTCGGTAAGCAGCTGAGGTCTTCGGTGTTTGTCTTATTCTGCTCAGCAAGCAAAGCCAACTCCTGTGCCTCAAACTCTTGCTGCGCCTTTTCTTCGCTACCCAGGGCCTCGACAGCCTTATTGATGCGTTCTTTCAAGCGAGCCTCCTCCTCCCTGGCAATCTCCTGGATAAAGTCGGGAGATGGAGCCATGGTGAAGGTCAGGGTGTTGTCATTGAGCAAGTATTTATCCATCAAACCTTCGAGATAACCACCCTTGGCGTACTCGGCTTCGAACGCTGCAAGTGTGTCGTTCCAGGCAAGCGAGTCAAAGGGATCGACTCCGGTGAACCACTTAGGCTTCAGACGCTGCAGCAACGACATGCCAAAGTTGGCAGTCTTGTGCTTCAGGCTGAGTTCAAGCTGGTGCAGATAACCATCGATTTTGTGGCGGTCGAAGCCCTTCTCTCGCATATTGCGGAGGATCTTCTGGATCGTGGGCTTGACCTTAGGAACATCGTCTTCCTGGACACCAGTCAGACCGACCGAGAAGATGCCAACCTTAGCAGAGCTGTCATAGCCAGTGTTAGGGCTCCAATCTGTGCCCAGGCCGGCTTCAATGAGCCCCTTATACATAGGAGATCCGTAGCCATCAGTGAGCAGGGCAGAAATCAGAGCCAAAGAAAAGGATTCTACAACGTTGGACGTGTCACCAAGCACCCAAGACACAGAGGTCTTGAACTGCTTGTTGGGATCCACGAGAGGGTCCACAGGGCCAAATAGACGGACTTCCCTCGGGCCACTGGTCAGGTCGATCGGCCGGTGGTTGGCCTTGTCGGCTTGGATCTGCTCAAAGGCAGACAATTGGGCATCAATTTCCTTGAGGTGATCTGCCAGCGGAAAGTTGCCATAGGTGAACAACTTGGCGTTGCTCGGGTGGTAATGCTCAGCATGGAACTTCTTGAGCTGCTCGTAGGTAAGGTCGGTGATCTTCTGAGGGTCACCTCCCGAATTGTTGATATCAGGGAAAATATGGTCCTGGAACCGAATGTAGAAAAGGTAGCTGGCATCGGACATCTGACCCTTCATCTCGTTGTAGACGACGCCCTTGAAGACAAGCTTCCGGTCCTCCGGTCTGGCCTCGCCGCCTGCAGCAAGCGCCTGGGGATTCTCGGGTCCAATGCGCCATCCCTCCTGCTGGAAGTCGGACTTCTTCAATAGAGGATGGAGGGTCGCGTCCAGGTAGACGGACATAAGGTTTTTGAAATCCTGGGCATTGGTAGTAGCAAAAGGATAAAAGGTGTGATCGGACGCCGTAAAGGCGTTCATGAAATTGGAAAGTGTGCGTGGGAGCATCTTGAAGAAGGGGTCCCGGATGGGATACCTGCATCTTGTCAGCATGGACATGTTCAACTCGAGTCATAGACATAACCGGTATCGACCTACTTCTCACTGCCACACAACGTGGTATGCTCCAAAATATGAGGGACGCCCGTATCATCGGGCGGATTGGTCTTAAAGCCAATCGAGAAGACATTGTTGCTGTCATCGCGGGCGATATGCAAATGCTCGGCTCCGGTCTTATCGTGCCGCAGGTGCAAAGCGGTTAGCTCCAGCTCTGGGACATGCTTCGTCCTTAAAACAGTAAAGCCATGAAGCTTGTCGCCGGGCTTGGAGAGCTGGGCGAGGTCGCTGGCCGCCTTTGCAGCCCGCTTCGCCGTGTTACGGAACATAGTTTGAGGAGGTTGGGGAGTGAAGAGAAAATCTCGTCACTAAATCCCACGTTTAATGTAGCCCAGACTGTGCTAGCATGGGGCCTGTAGCTAAAGTGAAACTTGCCAGGCAGAAAGGAAAAGAAAGAAAAAGTATGAGCGTAAAAGCTCACAGGTTCGGCAGGTCGGGTTGACAGGAGCCGAACAGCGAGACCTGAGGAAAAAATCCAAGGTGAGGAAAGAGAAAAGAAGGGCATGGAAGACATGACAGTGGATGGAAAAACGGGATTCGATTGGCCCTTGCCGAGGGTGGCAGTGGTCAAGTGGGTCTGCAAAATCAAATGTTAACGCGGTACATTTTTTTAATGCCTACTCCATAGCTCAGAAAGCACGGTTCTGGGTCGGATCAGGTACTCAGCCATCTGCCAAGACCTTTAGTGGCTCCGACACGGCTGCTGACTCGGCGCGAGTTGGGGGAGCCGATGGCTGTCACGAAGTGACAAATGGGTGGAAAGATGGAGCTCCACTGACAGGTTTGAACAGTGGTTTCCAGGACTCCCGAGAGGTTTATAGAGGGGTCAGAGAGGACTGGTAAAGAGGGCCAGAGGTGTGCGCTGTGTGTGTGACTGGTGGGAGTGGAGAGCAACCTAAGGCTGAAGGCTAATGCACAGAAAGTACAACGACATTCTGGAGTTCTGCTCCGCAATCTCTGCACAGCTGGGATTTGCACACACTGCCTACGTTCTCTTCGCCTCTTGTTCGTCTGTTCACCCACCCACCTGATAATCCTGTACCACAGCCCATCCGATACATCCATCCGTGTCGGACCTCCATCAAGTACACGTCCATTCGTGCCCCTGCGCTCTGGACCCTGGCTCGAGGGCGTCAAAGCCAAGCGAGTCACTCTGAGACCTGGACATCCAAACACACCCCTCTTTTGTTTGGCAACCTTGGAATCCGATCTCTTCCAAGCCGACCCTCGCGGTGAAGAATCTGGGTCCTGCATTGAGAGCCCTTGAGGGTTATTGCTGCGCTGGATGTCGTCGACTTGCGTGGTTATTCTGACCGGATAAGCGACTTCTCGGCGCCGACATCCAGTCTCTCCGGCCAATTTTTTGCCAGATTACCGAACGGCTCAGGTCGACATCCAGCACCGAGTGCACACCTCCCATTGCTCTTTTTCGACAGAAAGTTCCGTATGGGCAATTCAAATCCCTCGTGACTGCTCGACACATACTGATCTTCCTAGCTGACGATATTGCCCGCGCGACAATGTCGACCCCCAACCCCTCCACAGCGCCTACGAACGGCCGGCCGGCCACTGAGTCTGTCCCGCCGAACGGACAATCCGGTGCTGCCCAGGCTGTGCCTGCTGCTGCTGCCCCCTCGGGAAAGAAGGGAAAGGCGAAGAAGATGCCGGAACCGAGCGAGGCATCTAAGCTGATTGCGCAGCGAATCAGCCAGCTGGAGATGGATGCGGCCCTAGACAAGGATCAAGAGGCTGAACTTGGTGGGTAAACCCTTCTCGCACCGTCTTTTGCTGACCAATTACAACATGGCTTCTTAACACTCGACAGTCCTCGAGACGGGAAAATCGAGAGTGTGCAGTTTGCCTGGGTTCGGTGTGGCCGATCAACCGTTCGGGGGCTAACATGTGGGCAGAGCGCGAGGTTCGAAAGGCAAACAGGGAGCTCCAAAACCAGACTGCCAAGATGATGGACATGCAAAAGATTGAATTTTTGACGAAGCGCTGCTCAGATCTCTTCATGGAGATGAAGCGCCATGAGCGTGAGAGCATCAAGAACAAAAAGCGCACTGACCAGCTTCAGAAGGACAAGGACAACAGCAGACAGGAGCTTAATAAGACGGTCTCGCTGAAGGAAAAGCTGGAGAAGTTATGCCGGGAGCTTCAGAAGGAAAACAACAAGTTGAAGGTCCTATCCCATGATTCTACTGACGGCATGGGGAAGAAGCAGGATGCTGACGAGTTTTATGTGGGCAGAACGAGAACAAAGCTCTTGCAGATGCGCAAATTCGGAGCCAGGCTACGTGGGACGAGCGGTATTCAGGCCTTCTGCGTCGAATGGATGAATATCAAGAAGACAAAGATAACCCACGTAAGCAGGTGGTGGATATGGAGATCGAGGAGCTGTGCGTTTTGTCCCTGTTGCTTTTGGTTCGGATGGAAGACAATGCTGACAGTGGTGAAGATTCTGTCAGCGCTTCAAATCACTTATCGACCAATATGAGCTGCGCGAGTTACATTTCCATTCGCAAATGCGCACCAAAGAGCTCGAGGTCCAGTATAATTTGGCTCGGTATGAACAACAGAAGAAGAACTACGAGGCAGAGTATGCACGGTCGAGGCAGTTGAATGCGCAAGTGCAAGCGTTTACTCAGACTGAAGCCGATTTGCGGCACCAGCTCAGTGTTTACGTCGAGAAGTTCAAACAGGTTTGACCATCCAGTCCATAGAAGCGATGAGATTGAATCACTGACATTGGCCACAGGTTGAGGATACCCTTAACAATAGCAACGATCTGTTTACGACGTTCCGCAAGGAGATGGAGGACATGACCAAGAAGACCAAGCGGCTTGAGAAGGAGAATGAGCAGCTCAAGCGGAAACACGAGCAGGTCAATGGAAACATCCTTAAAATGGCTGAGGAGCGCAATAGGAACTTGTCCGAGATCGAGGAGTTGCGCAAGAAGCTAGATAAGCTTAACGGCATCATCAAACAGATGCAGCAGCAAGGACGTGGGATTCCGCAGGGGATGGCGTCTGGTACGAATGCGGGGACAAATGCCAGCAACGGCACGAGCTCGAACTCGAACGCTGCTGCTACTCAGAACGGGCACCACGGGGGCCACAGCCATGGCAGCAGTCACGGCAGTCATGCCGAGAATGGCCATGGTGAGGAGGAGGGGGATGGGAGTGAGTATGATGAGGATGAGTATGACGAAGGCGAAGAGGAGGGCAGCGAAGAGGGCGAATTTGACGACGAAACAGAGGACGAGCTGCACCAGCAGGGTCCGCAGCAACCTCAGCCCTACGGCCCTGAGCGCCCTCTGCGGGCTGCCCCAGCTGCGGCGGCGACGACCAACGGCCACCGCTAGTGATCAGGGCACCTGTTCCTACATTTTGATTAAGAGGATTGAATCAAAATCCCAGCGAAGGGGTGTGGTGTTAGCTTGTGCAAGCGGTAGGGGATGTGCATAAGGGGTTGTATTGCTTTGTACATAGTTATCTCTGGCGCATCTTCCTCCCATACACTCATACTCCGGTGAGTTAGTTGGACTAATTTCGATAGGATGTAGGTGTTTGCCAATGTGCCTGCTCTCCTGCCAGGTGCCAACAGTATCGGAGTAACACTGCTTTGCCTGCTGCTTGACGTCGATGTCGACGCCATTCGTCGGGCCGACTTGGACGTGGGGCTGGTAAAGGAGGAATCTAGCAAAGACAACTTTATTGTAACAATTGGATGATGCGGTAGTGTTCATTTTCAGAATAACCTGAATGAGCATCGCATGCCGGGTATATTGTTCGAGGGATTGTGGTTGATAGCCATCGAAGTCCGCGAAGGAGGGGTGATAAGGCCGCCCCGAAATGATAGCACTGTCAGGGACTTATGTTTTTATTGATAAAATTATTATATCGAGTATACTATTTCAAAACCGGGAAGAAACCAGGGCATCTGTGCATGCCAAGCTTATGTCATGCATCAAACCGGTGGGCTCGCTCCGTGTCTTGGCCCCTGCAGTAATCAGGAACGTGGAACAGAGGCGCGGCAAATACAGTCTCGTTCAATCAAACCGCTTGGAATCAACCACTGAGAATGGCCGGGTCTGAGCCTTCCCCAGACCACAGAACCGACACTGACAAACCGCTGAGTACGCACTAAGCCCGATGCCCTCGTCGCCGTGTTTGCTTCCGATCGATCTCCTCCCGGACAAGTAGACCTACCCTGCAATAATTTGCGCCTCGTGTGGAATCCTGCCGCTTTCCGTGACAGCACCAATGCCGCCGAAACCGAGTATCTCTGCATCGCAGCCCGCGTCGTGAGACTCGCGCAGCCTTGTGTCCCTGGGGTTCCCTACCTAACCTGACCTGATGCAACCTACGCCCTTGGTTGGGATCAAGACTTTTGGGCGTCAACCACCGAGTTCCCAACCACGTAGTTTTCGATTTCGCATAAACGGCAGTATCTGATTTATTACGGTCGCGAGCGACTTTGGCGGGTTTACAAACACCAACTTTGCGAAAGATCCTGGCCCCCCCCCCTCCCCGGGGGCTGTCCTGGAGATTGACTACCGCATGTGCCCTCGCTGGCATTCCAACGACCTGTGCAGTGTGCAGCCACGGCCGACTTATCCAGGGAGACTAGCCGGGCCATAAGCATTCTAACTCTTTAAACTTTCTAATTCCTTTTTCCCTTCTTTCCTTTTCTTTCCCTTCCTTATCCCAACGCAACTTCGAATCCTTGAACCATCCAGTCTACCTATTCCAAAATGGCCTTCATCCAAGACCCGCGCCTCCGTCAAACCTGGAACAATCTTTCCCACACCACTGAAGCCGCCGCCTCCGACGCCGCGGCCGGCATCTGGGCCTTCGGCCACGCTTATGTCGCTCCCTGCCTTTCAGCTGTCTCGGGCGCCATCGACCGCTGCTGTCTCAGTGTGTGCTTAGGTGCTGACCGTGAGGAGCGTGCGCGCCGAGCCCGTGAGCGCGATCGTGGCGCGCGCAGGATCGAAGCGAGTTTTGATTTCTACGATGATTGGGATGAGGATTTGTGGGCTGCGGCGCAGTATGATGATTACTATTATGATAATTATTATGATGATGGAGGACTGGGGGGCAGCGGAAGTGGAGGGGGGAGTGGTAGGAGAGGGTTTGATTGGGAGAGATTGCTTGCTGGGACGGGGAGTCGAGTGGTTGGTAGACGGGGAGGGGGAGGGGATGGAGATGGACGGGGCGTAGTTGGGGATCAGCCCCGGAGAAAGAGGGGGATGAGTTATGGGACTCGCGGGGGAGGCGATGCGGGAAGGAGGAAGGTGACTGGTGAGGAAGATGATCCAAATGTGATTCCCAGAACGGCACCGTTGGGATTTTTGTTGAGGTTGCCGTTCAAGATAGTCGGGTCACTGCGGTACAAACCGTCGGCCGCGAACCTGAGGGAGCATCCTGGGCATGGGGCCTACTATGGCGAGAACAGGCCTGGCGAGGAGAGGGAACCGCTGCTTGGTAGGAACGAGGATGTGCAATATGGCCGGAGGTCACCCGTACAACGGCAGCAAGAGGAGAGTAAACAGCAGCAACAGCAATCTCCCGGCCGAGCACGCAGCAATACGACCATGTCCGGAGACACATCTAGTTCGTACCGGTCACGCAACGACCTCTTTTCGAGCGACGGCGAAGGCGACGAGGACGCGGTACCGCTAGATGATGAATTTACTGTTGCACTAGCTCGTGTCAGCTGCCCTGGTGGCGATGATCGCAGCAGCAATAAGATGCGCAGCAGTAAAGGGAAAGGCAAACGGCCTGACGGCGAGAGGGGGTTGTCTCGAACATATTCGAGGACGACAATGGCATCTTCAGTGAAGACCACTAGTTCTAGGCGATCGACGGCTGACGAGGCTTCGCTTAAGGATCTGGGCCAGAGTATCTACAGTACACGGTCGCTTGGGCTGGATGGGGAGTACGAGTACCATGACGAGGTTGTCCGGTCGTTGGAGAACCTCCGGCGCGAGGAAGAGGATGTTGAACGCGAGGAGAATGAGGAGATTGAGCGCAAACGGCGAGCTGCTGAGCGACTGGCAATGCAGAAGGGGTTGGCTGTTAATGTTGCGGCCGGCCATACTGGAACAGAGCAACAACAACAACAACAACAACAACAACAGGATAGTGAACAGCGAGAGGCGCATTCTCGGGATCAAGAAACCCGACCGAAGCCGAACGGGTCAGTAACCGAGCACTTGATCGAAGAATCCAAGCCCGTTCCCCCAACATCACCAGAAGCTCCGCTGCCGAAGGATGACGATGATAAGAAACCAGGAAATGGAGAGAGCAGATTTAATGCTGCCCGGTTGCCTAGGTTCGGGTAGCACAGCAGTCAGGGATCGATCACCATCTTTATCGATGCAACTATCACATTCAGTTCGCATATACATTCCCATAGATTCACTCTAACGACTTGGGTTGTGGCGAGTGAAATAAACTGGAGTAGGTAATGTATTATGCCATGTTGGCCGCCCCATAGCGGCTTGAGGTCCTGGTACACGTCTTACGGCTGTTGATGATTTTCAGAAGGACAAGAACGGGAACGGATACGGACTAGGTATGGCTTTACAATGCGGCGTTGCTCTTTCTTTGGTGTATCATAACGTTTATTATACCATTAGGTTACGGTCCAAGATGGATTCCTTTTATCAGACAGAGCAGCAGGGAACGGACATGAATAAGGCAATACATATGGTTCGCACTGGAGAGATGGCATCAAGTGAGACCGGCGATGTTGGACGGCCATATCCCTTTCTGGCCTCTGGTGGTGTACAACGATCGGGACCATGCCGATCTGAATCCCGAAGTCCGTGTGCAACCCTCTCTGCCAACCACCCGCAGCCATTTCCCTGGCCAAGTCAGGTAGATCAAAGCTCATGAGCTGAGGGCCAACGAGGGGATGTCAGACTCTCAGACATGGCTTCATTCAAATTCTTGGCCCCTCGACTTTGCCTCGGCTCGTCCCACCGCGCCCACTTTCCCCGCATCTCGCTACCCCGGAATTTGGCGTCTCGCCAAGTGGGGCAGGCCAACGGCGCCCTTCTTGCCTCTTGTATTGCCTGTTTCGAGGATGGGGTTTGCAGATCTTCGTTGGGGTAAGGGGGTGGTGGTTGCTACATCCCTAAGTAGGTAGGGAAGGAAGCGAAGGCGACAAAAAATCGGGGTTGATGTGTTCTTATATCGGGGGGCTGGACACCTACGTTGAAAAGATACTGCTGTTCATCTTGTCTACTTGTCCAGTTAAGACTGTGTCGGAGTTGTCCTCTTCGTCCTGCTACCTTACCATTCACCTGTCTCGGTTTAACATTGAAAGAAGCCGCACAGTCGACACGGTCTCACCTCCGACCTACGCGCACTTCATCCCATCTCTCACTCACTGTCTCACCTCCCAAAATGTCCTCTCCAACGGGCCCAATCACCACCCCCCTTACAACCCTCCTCGGCATCAAACATCCTATCATCCTCGCCGGCATGGCTCGCACCTCGGGGGGCCGCCTGGCCGCAGCAGTATCCAACGCCGGCGGCCTGGGCGTCATCGGCGGCTTCATGTACACGCCTGACCAACTTCGCGAAATCATCGCCGAGCTCAAAACCCATCTGCGCGATCCGAACCTTCCCTTCGGTATCGACCTCGCTTTGCCCCAGATCGGCGGGAACGCGCGCAAAACGAACCACGATTATACCGGGGGCAAGTTGGACGAGTTGATCGATATCACAATTGAGAGCGGGGCAAAGTTGTTCGTCAGTGCTGTTGGCGTGCCGCCGAAGAGGATTATTGATAAGCTGCATGCGGCGGGGGTGCTAGTGATGAATATGGTTGGGCACCCGAAGCATGCTGTTAAGGCGCTGGAGCTGGGTGTGGATCTGGTGTGTGCGCAAGGTGGAGAGGGAGGAGGACATACGGGCGATATTGCAGGGACGGTGTTGATCCCGGCGGTCGTGGATGTTGCGAGGAAGTACAGACCGCCGATGCTAAACGGGCAGTCGGCGATGGTGGTTGCTGCAGGTGGAATTTCGGATGGAAGGGGTCTAGCGAGCGCTTTGATGCAGGGTGCGGCAGGGGTTTGGGTGGGCACAAGGTTTGTTGCGAGTTTGGAGGCTGGGTGCAGTGAGGAACATAAGAAGGAGGTGGTGAGCTGTGGGTTTGATGAGACCGAGAGGACGTTGGTGATTAGTGGGAGGCCGTTGAGGATGAAGACGAATGATTATATCAGGAAGTGGCATGCTCAGCCGCAAAAGATTGATGAACTGTGCAGCAAGGGGATCGTCCCGCTTGAATGGGATCTCAAGCAGGGTAATGAGGTCGATTTGCCGCACTTGATGGGACAAGTGGCTGGTAGGATCCAGAAGGTCCAGCCGGCCGGTGAGATTGTGGATGAGATGGTCGCTGAAGCTGTGGAAAGGTTGAAAATGGCACAGGTGTTTTTGAATGGAGACAAGAGCAAGCTCTAAACTTCGCTTCTGCTCGATGTTTTCGGTGTGTATGAACTCAGTAGGTACCTCAATACTTCGAGTCCATTATTGTATCAAATGTTCAGATTCCCAAAATAAGTATTGAATTCGCCTTTAAGGGCATCATGGCGACCCGATGATGCTGACAGCTCAAGAACTAGGTAGAGTGGCTATACGCAATTGGGGGACCCCTATCATCATCACATGTGGGATTGTATAGCCGCTGTGACCACGTTACATAACAGCTTTCTACGTAATGTTTAAGAACCTGCCTATTCAGCTTATTTTGTGATATCATGTGCTTTTCCAACAGAAGGACTCTGAACGATGATACTAAATTTTTGTGTCACTATAGACACTCTATATGTTCATTGTTTGGCAACATTGCACGAGCAAACTTGATGTGTATGTAACACAATTATCCCGAAATGCGTTTTTGGACAGCACAGAGCAGGCGATGAGGAGAAAAGATGAGAGAGATAGGCTGAGAGGGATAGGGACTGAATCTGCGGGCCTGATCACACCATTTGTTTCAAGGGGAGCCAATACCACAGTATCATAGTCTCGCATGGCATATCTGGCTCAATAAGTTGACATGGCTGCTCAGATCGATGCTCACGGTAAGTAACACGGCTAGTAGGCTTGTTGTGTTGGAAAGGAACGATCTGAATTGACTATCCCCATTTCAAACTCCTCCTCCTCCTCCTCCTCCTCCTCCTCAACAGCAACAACAACAACAATAAAAAAAGACATAAGTTTACACACTCCCTATTCCTACCAACCGGCCACATTTCTCCAAATTTAAATAATGGTTCTGATTGAGTTAGTAGTGTGCTCGAAGTAACTAAGTTTGCTGAAAGGGTACACACTGAAAAAAGGGGTAACAGTGTTGCTGGGCCTGGGATTGCATCAAGTCCTCTCCTATCCTCTTATTGATCCCGTAAGTAACCTGCTTGACTGCTTCATTCCCGTTCGGAGCTCCTGATGGTCGTTCAGTCAAACAATGAGTTGTGACCTCTTCCGACCATAAAGCCATGTTGAACCCAATCTCTGAGCTCAAGACGAAGTCAAGAGCCAGATGAGGCCACCGGTTCTTTGATCTCCCCTCCACATGAGCAGGCTCTGCGATGAGGAAAGCCAACGAAAGATAGAGGCTCGAGAAGAACTCACGAGATGAATCTCTGGGACGACGATCAAGCGTGGAGAAATGAATGGCTTGCGGGATTATTGCGACCACGAAGAGTAGGCGGGGGGAGGGGGGCCAGATGCTCAGTAGAGCCGCGCGCGGGCCATATACTCTCACAGGAAGTGCTGCTCGGTGCAAGTGAGGTGAAGCAAATCGGTGATATCGAGGGTGCCATAGATAACGTCGAGCCACATGTCAATGAGGGTGTACTCGCAGATGTCGATGGCGAGACGAAAGGTGTTGGCTGCGAGGCTGGCCATGATGGAGAATATGGTTTGTCTTTTTCGATGGTTGGTTTATCTCCGAATCATTGGACTTTTGTACTCGAGGGGAAAAGAAAGACTACTCGAGAGTAGGCAGGAACTCACAGACTTTATATGCAGAGCATCGTGTACAGGTTACTGGGCGTTATTGTAAGCATTCGTCATGTTTATATGAAGTACACATCGTGCTGTTCGAGAAGGGGACATTGTCCAGCCTACGGGGCATGAATCCACTGCGAAGACAGAGATGAGGAAGTCGATTACGCTAATTTGTATCATTGGGTATCACGTTCTATCAAGAAGTTTGAGACTTAGATCCCAATATGGAGATAACGCACGCAGGCAGGTTTGCTCTCCATCGAGATGGCAGTACGGAGGGATCTGCGGTTCAGACAACACGCCTCGCTATTTCCATGTACATGGAAGTAGTATTGGGAGTCTTCCATTAGTCTGAGCCGTGCCAAAACCCTTGGAGCTGCGAGGTGGTGACGACAGGCGCCTATAACCTGTTCCTCGATCTCGCCTAAGGCCAGTCACATGCGGGGAAGACCGAGACTTTGGGCTGTGCAGCCCGATTGGCCTTGTTCGGACGAGATGGGCCACACATGTGGCAGGCAAGTCCAGACGGAATGGCGTGGTAGTTTGGTAAACATTGCAATGCCTGGCACTACCTCACCAAACAACACTCGGATCGACCTCGTGCTTCTCGCCGTCCTCGCGAATATGCTCCCGCTTAACATCGCGCTTCATCGGTTTACGCATATCGTACGCATCCTCCGACGAACGTGAAGGGTCCGCGGAGTGGTCGCCATAGTAGTCTTTAACGACACGGTACACGCTGTAGCCCATGCTCTTGTAGAAGGCGATGGCCTTATGGTTGGTAGTGCGCACAAACAGGTCGACGAACCAGGCATCGGCGGCATCTGCGGCGGCCTCGAGTTGCTCAGTCAGCAGACGGCCAATGCCCATTCTGCGGGCCTCGGGAGCGACTGTGACAGCTGTGATATGGGCATGCCATGGGAGATAGTGGGGAGAGAAACGGTAGACGTCCGGAGAGGATTCGAGCTTGCCCATGACTGGGTGGTTGAGTTAGTTGTTAATTGTCCACATAGGTAAGTAGGTTCATCCGGAAGGACGGAGAGACACACTGTAGCCAATGATATTGCCATGCTGGTCCTCAGCGACCTGGAACAGCGACGGCCATTTTGCATAATACTGGAGGTAGAAGCCCAGCTCATATGTCTCCGTGAACGGGTCCAGGTTGCATTTTGCCAGTTTGTTGAGATCTTCTGGCCGGAACCTACGCACGGTGACCATGGCGGGCTTCGAGTCTTGTCTACTTGACGGGTCGAGCTGGCTTCTTCCAAGGACCAAGGGACACGAGGGTAGCGATGTTCTTCACATGTTGCTTGGTGGGCTGGGCGCGTTGTTCCCAAAGCTGCCCCGCCGCCAAAAGTGGGTCCGATTACGTAATATTTCAATCAATACGTCAAGGTATAATGTAATTTACGTACTTACACCAGAGGGTTGTCCATCACCGCCGCTGATTGATCGCATGAATGCCTCAATGCCGGCTGTGGGCCAGCGACGAATGACAGCCCAAGCCCAGTGACTGGGCTGGTCCCCGAGATGCCGTCTGCCACCAGACCACCGCTCCCTTATCGAGAATTCACGCCGTCATTCTTAAACGGCGCCCTGTCAACGCGACCCAGGGCCCCGGCAACCTGATCCTGCAATTTCAACGACGCAAAGACCACGTCCCGCGTACGTACGCCGGCCACAGCAGCATCGCGACCAGGCCAGTCGTCCCCACGGATATCGTCGTCATTGACGTCGTCTTCATCCCCGTCGTCCTCAGCCACGAGTCACGAGCCCTTGAAACATCGAAAGAACGCCGAAAAGACCGCCCGTAATTTTGCCCTGTGCATACACACACACAATTATACGCTCCCTGTTCTGTTATACCCTGGCCCCATAATCCTGCGACCCAGGCCGGGCCTGTCTGCGCAACCTGCCAAGTGCCAACAATCGAGTCAGCAGCACTATACCTCACCGAAGCTTTTCTGTGTCCTCCTTTGCTGTTGCACGACCAGAAGATCTCTCGAACGGAACCAGAGGCTCAAGAAGGACATACATTCCCAGAAACTGAGAGTCCCCCCGGTGACCAGTCGATTAACAGACGTATCTGCCTTACAGCGACAATTGCCAACTGACCGACTCCACGCACACTGCGAATACCCAACAACCTCACACCAACCAAACATACAGCAGCGACCACAACTACAACTAGGTAGCTATCACGATGGACTCACCGCGACAAACTCCCCAGCATTCACCGAATCCGTCGATCAACGACTTTCAGCAGTTCTCCTTCTCTGCCAGCAACTCATACTACGAGGGCTCTCCCCACCATGACCGCCGTTATTCCAAGGCCTCAGCCTCTTCATTCAACGAATCCATCGCCGGCAGCACATCTGGTCTGCCACTAGACGGCCCAGACGGTGGTGCAGGAGGGAAAGGCTTGGGGAACCTTGCCGATGAACTGGCTGCCTTTGATGACGATGGCTACGATGACGGGTATGGCGATGGAGAGGGCTACGACGAAGAGGGCGCCTCTGGGTATGAGGACGAGCGGGAAGGCGCTGGCGTTGGCATTGGCATCTCCCTCGATCAAGCAGACGACGCGAAGCGTGAGGGGGTCAGAGATAGTGGGGTTGATGTCGAGAGCCCGAGGAGACGACAGGGCGGGGTAGGAGGATCAGGAGGTGGAGGGCTAGGCGTGCCTAGCGGGACCAACGGGCGTCGCCATAGGCGCGCGGGTAGTGAGTACGACGGGAGCGAGTACGGCACCGATTCGGACCTAGAGTCTCCTGGCATTCCGCCACGGCTGGCCGAGAAGATGGCCGAGGTGGAGGCATTGGCTCGCCGCGGTACTGAGAACAACGGTTCGTCGGCGGATGGCACATTTAAGCGTGTCACGGATGGCTTGCGTGATCTGGGCTCGCAGGCTGGTATCGAGGGTGCTGCCTCAAGGTATGTCTCAATTGCTACCATCTTCTCTCCCCCCGTTACTCTTCAACTCACATACTAACCGCCCCCAGACTGATAACCGCTCACTCGGCCCTAACCACGCACCTAACCCACCAAACCCGTCTCCTCCATAACCTCACCTACCCCCTCATCTCTTCCCACAACCAATCCCACATCGACCCCGACTCCATCGACTCCCTCCTCCCGCTCCTCCTCTCTCTGCAATCGACCCTCCCTCGCCCCGCAACCCCGGCCCTCCACGCCCTCAGCTCCCTGCAGAATCTCACCCAAGACCTGATCCACACCCTCAACTACCTCTCCGACACGCTTCACATGTCGCGGCAGACAACGACTGCCGCGGCGAGGAAGCTCAAGAGTGCTAGGGATGTTGTTGCTGAGATGAGGAGGGACGAGGAGTTGAGGGAGGAAGGGGTTAGGTGGCTTGAGAGAGGAAATTGGGGAGAGAGATTGGCGAGGAGGGAGTGTGCGCATGTCTGTGGGGAGGTGGTTGGGGGCTTTGAGAAGGTGTGTGAGGGTTGGCGGGAGAGGTTGGTGAAGGCTTTGAAGGAGGAGTCCTCGCAGGCGTGAGGGTTTGCTATGGGATTCTTGCGTCAGTCGGAGTAGAATAGACGGGGGATTGGGTGGGGAGGCTGGTTTGGTAGGATTGAGGACATGAGTTTTCCTATGAGTTTTCGAGCCAAAGGGGAGAGTATTGCCTTTTCCCGTCCTCAATCCTCTTTTTCTGCTCTCCCACTTTGCTTTGCATATACCATTGACGGTTGAAGCAGGTAGTGTCATGGATATAGACTTAGTGGTTGCCCCTTATATTGCAAGGATAGATGGTGGTGTTGGTCTTCTAATTGTGATAGTGAGCTGGGCATATGTGCACGTAGATTTCATGATGTTAAGAAACCAGAAGCAATGATAACAAGCTAGCCAAGCTGATAGCCAGCTAATAATAGTTTCACATTCCTAGGATTGTCACATCCCATGATACATTCGGGCTGTAGCTTCTATCATTTTAAACGTCTCAGATATGCCTTCTATTGTGATTCTCCTTCGAAGCTGATGAACACAATATGGAAACTTAATGAGGCCTGCCATGATAACCACAGTAAATTCGTCCGAGCTGAACTGCACTTCCTGCCAAATAAACATTGGATCGCTACGGCAATAGGCCGAAACATTCTTGGAGGGGATTATGGCGCTTGGTTAAGTTTTTGACAAACAGTGACAGTTAATCTTCCCTCCCATCCCACACTTTCTGCAACTTCTCCTTTTCTTATTAGAGCTTCCGGTTCCTCAGCCATGCCCTAGCATCAGGACACAAGTGTTGAGAGAGATGGTTTTGCGTCACAGCATGAGCGCTTTTACTCCAACGGACGTGTCGAGCGCATCAATGGCTCAAGATTCCAAGGAATCTTTCTTCCGCGCTTGACTCCCCTATAGACTTCCTATTGTGAGGTATCGGATCGATGTTAAGGGCCTCTTCGGTGGTGATATGATGGAAGAAGACCCGAGTATGCTCATCGAGCGCACCTGTGTGGAGGAGATCTACAGGGCAGAGTTTGACTTGGGCGATTGCGAAGGTGTGATCCTGTTCGGTCAATATGAAGAGGCTCCAGAGGAGCTCTGGAAAGAACTCTGATCGCGACGAGGCCTACTACGATGACGAAGATGATAAAGACGAGGATAACGATGACGTAGTAGAGGAGGAAAAGAACCCCCAACCACATCCCGCAAGCGCAAAGCTGCCATCAACAATTGCCTTCCCCCCCAGCAAACGGGCTAAATACAAACATTCCTTCAGCCGTCTAAACAAGAACAAATTCTTCCTCCGCATCCGCTACCGCGAACTCCACGGTCCAGTCGACTACGACGTGACCAAAGGAATCCTCGAGTCCAAGACCAAAGCTGGTATTCCCTACGCCACTTTTGTTGCGCACTGCAATTCGGGATCTTTTGGGAGGTTTACATCACTGGGCGAAAGTTTGCCAGGGCATCGTTGAGGCCTCATATGGCTGGCAAGCAGTGGGCAGATCATCCGGAGAGCGTGTATGAGAGAGCGTGTGTGGCGCGCTGGAGGTAAGAGTATTTCTGGAGCGTAGTTAAGGATAACAGGACGAAGGGAGGAAATCTTGACATGATGCTATGCAGGCCAGTTGGATGTTTTTTGAGTGCTAGGATGACATTGGTTTGGGTTGATACAGGACCTATCTATGTGGGCTAAGAATTTCGGGTACGGTACCCCTAACAACCGTGCAAACCGAGAACGGAAAACAGCTGCGGCTAGAGACACCCCTTGTAAACATAACTTTGAAGAATGAATTCCTGTGCAGCAGCTAACTTGATAATAATTTCTGGCGATATTCCATCCTTCGACATGGAGTGCAATTTGCCTAGGCTGTAGAAAATACCCATGGGATTCCAACAACCTTTATCCCACAACTCGGAGTCACCTTACGTTGGCCATACAATCCGCGACGTTCAATTGAATTGGGATACATAAGCCTGACTACACTCCTCGATTCACAACGCACTAATCAGTCCGAGTCTTCATCAGACCCAGAGGTATAGGAGGATCCATCCTCCATCTCCTCATCCTCTTCCTCTTCCGAATCCTCCTCGCCATCCTCGTCTGCCTTGAGACCATAGTCATCATAGAAATCCGACAGCTGATGCACTTGTGTCTTGTACCCAACAGCAGAAAGCGCTTTGACAATGTTCTGTAGTGAGATAATGTTAGCTTGCCTCTTCCCACCGTTGGAACAGTGGGCAAGGATACTCACCTCCTCCATAATCGGCGCACACGTCACAATAACATTGCTCTTGCCCGGCTCAAACACCGGCATGATAATCTCCCTCATGACCTCTCTAATTTCATCATCCGTAACCTCCCTAACTTTCGCCAAAATCTTCTTATTCCACCCGGGCTCCAGTCCCCTAACAACCGTCGAGATATAGTTGTACTGCGCGGCCGCCGCCATAGTTGCCTGCTCGTCCGCCACACCCAACACGACACCGCTAACAGCGCCTTCAACCAGGTGCCTGTCCAGGGGCGTCTCGCCAGACGCAATCTTAGCCACAATCTTGCGGCTCGCCTCGATCGCCTTGCTCGCGTCAGGAGATCGGTACACGCGGAACTGGATGTAGCCGCCGTCTACCTCGCGCGAGAAACCAACGCCGTAGGCGAGACCCGTGCCGCGGACTGCGTTCCATAAAGGACCGCCAACGGCTTCCAGGTAGCCAAGGGCAACGAGGTACGCAGGCAGGCGGGGGTCGGAGTGGGACTTGAGACCGCGGGCGAAGCTGACACTGTATGAGCTGTCGAGGGTTGTCATTGGGATGATGACGCTGCCGTAGGAGCCGGGGGACTCGCCCTCGGGACTGAGGAGTTGATGGAGTTTGGTGATGGGCTGGAGATCCTTGGTGTGGTCGAGCCCAGGCTCCTGGAAGAGCACGTCCCATGGGGCGACAGGGTTGTCGAGCTTGGCAACGTCGGCGGTGACGAGGACACGGATGTTTTCAAACTGGAACAGACTCTGACGAAGCTCGTTGAACCACGAGACAACAGTCTCGGGCTCCTTCTCAAGGAGCTTCTTGAGACGGCGAAGATATACCGCTTTGACCAAGGTTCTCTTGGCTGTGAGATACGATTCAGGCTTCATGTGGATAGCCACAGAGACTTCCTGTGCCATTGCCCGTCCATCTCGCTTCTCCTCAGGGATGTCGGCAAGTGCCTTAACAATAGCAGCCTTGAGGCGAACTGGATCAAAAATGATGTCAAACATCAGCGTGCGCAGCCAACTGATGATAATGGAGTACTTTTCCCATTCAAGCTGGAACTGGATGGAAACACCCTCAGAGTCGCCCAAGCGAGCAGCCGAGCTGATCTCGTAGCTGATGGAGTCCTTCTCGAGCTGCTTCACCACCTCCTCGAACTCAATACGCTTCCCATCGCGCATGACAGGGGAGTTGAAGAAGATGTCGTTGAACAGAGGGAGAAGTGGCTTGTACTTGGCTGGCGTCTTAGACATGCCCACATGCACTGTGAGGTGAACGAAGTTGCTCGGAACACTCTCGAACTGGACAAACAACGGCCGGCTTTGCGCTGCCGAATCAATAATCTTCTGAGGAGCGTTGTCGAAGACGCCCAGTGTACGGGCCTTGCCGGCTCTGGCGGTCTCAGACTCGATGAAATGGATCGAAGAGGTGCCGGGGACAGGCCATTGATCCAGAACTTCAGGCGGAATCGGCTCCTCGTTGTTCTTCTTTGCTGTCTCAAGCCTTTGCCTTAAGCGCTCAAGGCCCTCCTTGCCCAGTTCTTCCTTCCTCTTAGCCAAACGTTCTGCCTCTCTCGCTTTGAGTTCATCGGCAAATTTCTTTGAGGGCTTGCCAAGAATAGAGACGTGATGGGCATCTGATAGCCACTTTCTGAGGAACTCCCTCCACTGCCCGTCAGTCCAGCTCTCAAGAACATCGTACTCAACCAAAGTCTCCAAATCTTTCAGGGTCCTCCCGTCCCTGTCGCCAAAAAGATAGTCTGTGATGATGTTATTGGCATAGAACTGCTCGGAGCCTTCAGCATGAAGTTTGACCTGACGCTTCTCTCGCTGAATGCATTCCTTCATGTAATCCATGTCAAGAGGCTTCGATGCGACTTCCTTCAGCAGCTCGATAAGCCGCTTGTAGACAAACTCAAGCTTCTCGGTGGAAACCCCGGTCGGCTGAAACCAGACAAGGATGTTCGGCCTGCTCTCAAGCAAATAAGTCACGGAGCTTGCCAACTGCTCCTTTTCTACCAAAATATTCTCGAGCACTGAGACAGATGACCCACAGAGGTAAGTCATGACAATGTTCATGGCCGTGGCCTGAACTTGATCCGTGCAGCTGGGTCCAAAGAAGGCAACGGCGATCTCGCCAGTCGACTCATCCTCCTCTGGGAACTCGACCGTCTCAACGAATGTTTTTTCCAAAGGTGGGGGCTGCGGCGAGTCAACAAACGGCCTCTTGAATTGTGGATCTGGCGGAGGAATATCCTCAGCAATTCGCTCCTCAAATTCATCCAAGATACGCAGGAGGTCATCATGATTGGCCTCGCCGATGACAATGATGGCCATATTCTGCGGGTGATACATGGACTTATGAAATTCCCTGATCCTTTCAGGGGTAAGGACGCGCAATGCCTCCATCATGCCTCCAGTCTCGTACCGGAAGCCGACATTCTCAGGGTAGAGCAGGCGACGGGCCTTCAAATCCATTAACTCAATGCTACGGTACTGGAGAGCTTGCATCTCGGAATAGACGACACCAGCATCGTTGCCCTCGCCGTCGATGTGATGCACCTCTGTGATGCAGGAATCATCGGTGATATGGGGCACAATGATATGCTCCAGGTAAACTGGCAGGATTTGGGCAAAGCCATCCCAGCCAGCCGTTTCGAGAGTGTAGGCGGTATGGTCGACAGCGGTCCAGGCATTGGTATACGAGTATGCACGATTGGCCAGCTTTTCCAACAGGCCTCGGTATTGATACCTCTTAGACCCCATGAAGACAAGGTGCTCTAATGTGTGAGGAGCACCAGAATCATCGAAGATTTCAGTCGCGAGGGTGAAGTAGCCGCTGATCTTGGGCCCTTTGCGGTCAGCCACGATGACTTGCATGCCACTCCTCTCCGAGACATATTGGGTAATGGTAGCCGGGGCATAATTGGTACGGAAGCTCTGGACCTTCCGGAACCGTGGTCTCTGTAGTTGCGTCATGTTGGTGCCAAGGTTCTGCAAAAGGCCTTTGAGGTACCTAGAGTGGAGTTAGCAAACTGTGTTGATTTTCATGCGCAGGGTCTGCTGATAGCATAGATGTGTAAGGGACTATCAAGATAATAAGATGCGTATAAACATGAAATAAGGCATTGGCCATCTGAGGCCAGGTGTGATAGTGATCACGGAGTGTCCAGTTTTAACCTGATTCATCCTTCAGGCTGCCATGTGCGTACCCATAATCCAACGTTGGCTTTGTTGAGTCATGGGATGCTGCAGCTATGTGCTCCTGGAGTGTTGTGAGGAGCACTAACACCAGAACATGGAGCAGGAAACCGCAAGGAATCATCCTGTAATCTTCTGGTTGGGTGAAGAAAAGTGACCATTGAAGAGAGCGGGTGACAATGTGTTGGAGCTATGGCGTCAGAAAAGAAAGGGGAAGGGGTTGAAAAGGGTCATTGCGGAAAGCAAACAGGTGCAGAAGTGTGAGAGAAGGCTTTGCCTTGAGGACAGAGGCTAGGTGGGCACCCAGTGATGGGATTGGTATGAACAAATGCGTGCGATGTCGTGAAGTGAAGCTGTGTAAGTTGAGGTGAACAAGGAGGGGGACAGTCTCGGCTGACATACAGACCCCGGATTCTGCCACTGGTTGGTGTAATTGTTGAAGGAGCCTGTTGCCTGGCTGCAAACAGACCGTGTGTAAGACCAATGGCAAATGGTAACGTGATCCTTGAACGGCCCAGTCTGGCGGTTACCAGTCAGAGCTGTGTGTTGATCGCACAGCCTGGCTTCGTTCAGCCAGGATATTTGGTATTTTCGCTCCCTCAAACTGCTTCAGGGTGTTGTCAATGCTGGAAAAGGTAAAGAGTGAAAAGTGTAACGAAGAAAAGTAAAGCATCAAATGGCGTTCGGTAACCCAAGTATTCTGAACATATGAGGAAAGACGAAGAAAAAGTGAGTTGTTCAACGATAAGGATGGGAATGTGCTTACCAGGCAGTCACGACAGTTGCGAAATTGCAGAGTTGCAGCCCAGGTATGCAACAACAAAGAGAAGTCACGGTCAAAGCTGAATGGATGGCGGGGCACTCGGCACAGCGGGCGGTGAGCCCCACCTTTGCCAAGTCCCATATGGATGTGTATTGTAAAAAGTCATCAACTGAAGAGCTCCCAGCCACAGCAGCATAGCTCTGCTCTAGTGAAAGTACGTCGGCTTTAATTCAAGGATATATATTCAGATGTACTTCAATCTGTATTATGGTTCACGCAGGGGCAGCAGTTACAGAACAAGGAACCTGGGATGTGTGCTGAAGGGACCGCGAGGTCAATTCTGGTCTAAACACAGTACCGTGCCTGCTTTTTCAAGCAGACTGCTGACGATATCAAAGCCAGGCCATAGCCTATCCATCCACCGCCCTTGGTCCTTAGTTCATCCATTGCAGAATTGGTTTAAACCCTCACAAATTCTTCCCAATCATCCGTCCCACACCCTTGGATAAAGGTGCTTAGTGGGCACGGCGAGACTCGGCGATGACACGGTTCATGTCCTCAACCTTAGCCTTGGCACGGCCGAAGGTGCCCAGCTAAAACTTGTCAATTGCGGCTCAGACAAATGGGTTTTCGAGTTGTTCCTTACCTTTTTCTTGGCGAGCTTGCGGGCGCGCTTGTCCTTGGCGTTGCGGAGCAACTCAATGATGCGGCGCTCATAAGGGGCAAGGCTGCTGAATGTTAGGAAAAAAAATACACAATAAATTGACCAACATCATTGCAGAGAGGCAGAAACATACCCAGCGACCTCCTTAACGAGGTCGCGGACGAAGGCAGTCCGCTTGCTCAGGTGGCCCTTGGTGTGGCTCACGCGCTTGGCGACGCGGGCAGTGGTCTTCTGTAGAGGGGGAAAGGGCATATGATTAGCCAAATGAACAGTCCATCGTCCGCTGTCGCTTCGTGATATCCCGTGGGGGATGAAGCAACGCAGAGATCCTCCACGAGGTGAGACTAGAGGCTTTATCTTACGTGGCCCTTGTTGATGCCCTGCGAATCAAGCAGCGTGTTAGCTATGTCTTCCAGTTTCCATTTTTGGGAGGGTGCCAGAGGGGCCCAGGGCCAAGCTGTAAGATCACAAGATCGCAAAAATCGTAGGGAATCGATCGTCGCGCGCGTGTCTGTACGTCTGGTTCAGGCATCAGGCAGGACTATGTTAACTTACGGCAGCCAGGCCGGTGCGCTGGGTCTCGAACTTCTTAGCGGCCATTGTGACTGATGATGCCGTGCTGGTCAAGTTGTCGTGTCGTCGTGACGGTCGTGAGCGCAAAGAAAGGAAACGGAAATTTTGGCGAGTTTTGTGGGCAGGGCAAGATCTCGGCCAGTCGGAGTCTCCACCGCATCTGCAAGGTGGGATGCCGGCGCCTGGTGGCAGCTGCAGCTGGGCTTGGCTTACATAACTGGTCTTGGCGCCAAGGGCTCAGCAGGAGCAGGGCTCGGAAGCTTGCTCCAATTGGAGATGGGCATTGGACACCTTCAACTCCCCAAAGTCGTCAGTCCAACCCCAAGAGTTCAGGCGACCGGCTCTCTGCTCAGCATCATCAGCTTCTTGCAGATGACGCCCTGATGCCAAAACTAATATGCCGCGAACTTGCTTTAGTGCTCGACTCTACGGGACTTTTTTTCGGCTGAAATAGACGCTTGTTTCCCAGCGCATATCCCCTTATAGTTGTGGAAGGGTCCTTGGACCGCAGATGAACCGTGGTCCTTGAACCAGGTCAACAGTGCAACAACACCATGGCTGGCCCCGAAGCCCCAGCTGCACAGATCGCTCAGGCGATAGTTGACTTTGCCGTTAATGGCGCCTTTCCCGAAGATCGTGTATCCTCCCTAGCCATCGATTCCAGTACCTCGCCAGAAGCCATCAAGGCCCTCGCGGACGCCAAAGCCAAGCTACAGGTTCGGGCTCTCGTGCCCTTGATCCTCATGTGCCGATGCTAATGCCCGTCGCGCGCAGGCCGAAATCCGAACGATAAACGAAGAAACAGCCGACGATGTGAAGGCATGGCAAGAAAACGCGCAAGCCGTTCAAGACGACATCCTTCGATCCAAAGCACTCGCCAGCGAGATCCTCAAAGCGTCAGAAGCTCCAGAGGTGTCTGGCACCATTATACACGATGCCGAAACGAAGGCAGACTTCTTGATTCGCGAGCTGAGCTATAATGCCCAGGTTTACGAGGCTCTGAAACGCATCAAAACCGTGAATCAGACGCTAGATGAGGTTGAGAAGGCCCGCGACGAGCGCCGCATTTTGGATGCCCTTCTGCTGCTAGAACGTAAGAATATCGCTCGGACACGGTGCCTGAAGTGGCCGCCTCTGATCATCTGCTAGGGTCGTGGAAAGAGATGGACGCGGTGCCGGTCAGCAAGTCCTGCCGTGTTCTCAGGCTCCTCGATGTCAGAGCGTTCGAGCTAAAGTCCGATGTACATGGTGTCTTCGATAGAGTCTGGGATGCCTTGATTCACGTCGATATCAAGCAGCATCGGGTGTCCATCTTTCGTGCTCTGGAAGGTAAGCAGATCTCACTCATCTATGCTAGCGACGCCCTACTTTAACAACTGCAGGTGAGGCCATGAACCTGGAAGACGCAGTGGTTGGTTTGAAAGCATACAAGGAAGTCGATCAGCGTATGAGCCGCCTGTGTCACGACATAGATCAGGCTATCCTCCATCCGAGGATGGATATTTCTAGGGGCCAGCTCCCGACAGTCCATGTACAGGAGGTATGTTCGCTCCCCTCCCCCTCTCCGGCAAAATACACCCGTTAATGCTCAAAATTAGGGAACATTACAATTACAAGGCGTGACAGACAAGTCCGCCAAGTCTCTGTTCACAGACCTTGACCGTATTTTCTCATTTTTGGTCCAAAGTCTACCAGCAGAGCTCGTGGAGACGGTTTCATCTACGCTGATACCAGAAACGGTCCAGAGAATAACCACAGTTTGGCTTGACTCAGTGGTTCCTTCTTCGCTTAAGGATATGGACCAGTTCCAAAGTGTGATTGCTGATACCAAGGACTTTTGCAATCGCTTGAAGGCCCTCGGCTTCACAAACCTCGGACCCCTGCAAGATTGGACAGAAAGTGCGCCTAGGGTTTGGCTTTCTAAGTGCAGGGAGGCCGCCCTGGATGCAGTCCGCAAAAAGCTCGCTAATGGTCTCGGCGAGTCCAAACGGGTGGAAAAATTAGAGAAAGAAGTAGTATCGGTCCAAGATGGCAAGCAGCTCGTTGCGAATGGTGCAGTCTCCGAGGAAGATCACGAATGGAGCGCATGGGATGATGGCGGTGATGCAGCAGAACCTAGGTCATCTGCCGAAGAGTCAGCATCAAAACCCCAAGAACAGGGCGCAGATGATATTGTTGATGCCTGGGGCTGGGGCGATGATGGTGCAGAAGAGCCGACAGAAGAGAAGCCCCAAGAGTCCAAGGAAAGCAAGGGTGAGGAGGACGACGTTGTGGAAGCTTGGGGTTGGGGTGATGAGACTGGAAACGATGATGATGAAGCTAATCAGCTACAAGACCAGCCTCCAGCAGCTCAGACAGGGCAAAAAACCCGGGAGCTGGTGCTCAAAGAGCTGTACTCAATTTCGTCTCTACCACAGCAGGTTCTGGACCTGATATCTTCTGTGGTTGAGGATGCTGCTGCTCTCACTCAGGAGACTTTTGCAAACAGTCATGTCGCGTCAGTGGCAGCAGGGCTGTTTGGTGTTCCGACACTTGTTCTCGCCATGTTTCGGGCAGTTGCCCCTTACCATTATTCTTCACAGGTCGGAGGAAATATGTACGTTTGGAGTCCGTTTCAAAAGCTGGCTACCAGCACTTATTAACGCCCGCAGGTACCTCTACAACGATGCAAACTACTTGGCTGAGAAGCTGGCTGAGTTTGCGGCCTCCTGGAAGAAGCGTGACGACATCAGCCCCAACGCTCAGAACATGCTCCGTCTGGACCAGGACATTAAGTCGCTCCAAAATTTTGCTTCTCGTGCTTACACCAACGAGCTGACCCTCCAGAAAACTGTCCTGCGGGATCTCCTCGGAGGTTAGTCCTTGTTTTGTCTCTCATCGCTGTGCATCTAGCTAACTGTTTCATCTAGGCGAGCAAAACCTCCTTCAACAACAACCACCAGGTTCCTTTACCAACACTACCACCGCATCTCCCACCGCCGTGACCGCCGCTGTCGCCCACATTAATACCCTCGCTGCCTCCTGGGAGCCTATTCTCGCTCGCTCTGTCTGGCAGCAAGCTGTCGGCGCCCTCGCTGATGCTGCCGCTTCCAAGCTCGTCGCTGACGTCATGGACCTGACATCTATCAGCCAGGATGAGGCCTACCGTATTGCTGGACTGATCTCGGAAGTTGAAAAGATCGATGAGCTGTTCTTGCCCAGCAGGATGTACGGTAGCTCGGCGCGTAAAGGAGGAGAGGAGGAAGTGCCCTTGACGGCGCAATTTGCTCCAGGTTCGTGGCTGAGGCTGAAGTACCTTAGTGAGGTGCTACAGAGTAATTTGAGGGATGTGAGGTTCTTGTGGATGGAGGGGGAGTTGAGCCTGTACTTCGATGCTGAGGAGGTGGTAGAGCTGATCAAGGCGAGCTTTGAGGATAATCCGCGGACGAGGGAAGTGCTGAGGGAGATCAGGGCAAACCCTAGGCCCAGGGGGTGAAGGTTGGCTTTGTTGGGGGAAGAGCTTCGATATACCTAATATGGCTATTCTTCGACGTACATTCATGAATATCACGAGCCAAACAAATCTGATTGTCGCTTTTACCTATCGCTGTTCCTTGGAGTGCCTTGAACCCTGGAACCCACCAAGCCCTAGACCCGCAAGTGGATCGAGCGAATATAATCCCTTTCTCCGCCAGTCACCTTCACCTAGCGCCCCTGGTCGGGAACATACGCGATTTGATCGGGTATGGTGTAGCGGTAACATCAGCGACTCTCACATGCGAGTGCTCGCTAGCCCGGGGTTCGACTCCCCGTATCCGAGATGCTTAGGGGTGCTCTCTTTTTGGGGATTATTAATCCTTTTGCTATCATTGTTTGTTGGAAGATACATTCTTTTTTTATCAGCGCTTAGCTGTCCTAGATCATGAAACTGAGGTTTGAGATGGATAACGGAGCTTTTGCTCCGATCTTGGCTCGGTGTCCTTTGTTGACTTTTGCCCCTGAATGGCGGCCTCAATACAGTCAATTACTTTTCAGTCTCCCGCTGGTCGAAGCCGATGCAAGCCTTCTTCTGGTCTCCCATACTTGATTACAGTACTTTATAGACGGAAATAACAGCATGGACAACGTTTCGCAAGTTTTATCAGTTGAAATGGGCTCGTGGAGTGGCTACTTCGATCGTGTGGGGTCTCGCAATAGCACCAAACACAAGCTTATCACTGGCACCGACCGTTTTCGATTGGCTTTGTCGATCACATGTGTAGTTCTTGTTGGTTCCTAGACCGTCTTAAATCCACAATACAGCATGCAAACCAGCCAACCGACTTGAAATACAGGCCCCTAGTTGTGGTGAATGTGTGGGAGAATAGTAGTGTCCTCGGCTGGCTTCATCGCCGGATAACTAATCCTATGAGCAGAAGCTCCTCAGTCAGGAAGGCGGGGTCAGAAAGTGAGGCCCTTTACGATTCACTTTGCATCTGATGGTTAAGGTCTTGTGGCAATAAAGTACCCCAATCTGCAGGGAAAGGGAGATAGTGGCTGTTGCTTCTGCCCCATTAGGATGTATGTATAGAACATTTGCTAAGAAATGCTGATGGCTGGCTCAATCGATGGCATGAAGCCCTTGCCTCAGTATTCCTGTCTCCCACGCTCTTCATGTAGCGATAGGGAAACACCTTTGATGAAGTTGAGGTTGGGCTTATCAGGCACTGATAAAGTGCCAACAGACTGAACAGACCGAGAAAGCAATTTCAAGGTCATCTTCCAATTGGTCATTACTCCAGGTAGCAATAAAGTGACGAAAATGTGGCATCAAGTGACGAGATTTCAAGCTAGACGAGCTGCAACCAACAATGCGACGGACTTTTTCAGCTGGTTGTTGCTCCTGAAGCTCATGTCTGGCGTTTTCTCGTCGAAAAAAAAAAATGCTGCGAGATGACTTATCTTACATTGTTGAGGCAGTGTTTGAAGAAGATTCGCTTAGAAATGCATAGAGACAGCAAACATAGACTCAGCCTGTTCTGGTGGTACGGCATATACTCCATATCCCTGTAGCTACCTTACAAGTCTGCAGGAAGTACCGTGACTTTCCAAGGCCATGGTTTCAACTAATTTATGTGCAAATACATCTCAGTACCGATTCAATTGGGCTCACCTCCACGCCCCTAGTACGTCCATCAAGTCAAGCCGAGTTGAGTGCTATGCAGCTACAGATCGCTCAAAGAGAAAAGAAGTCACTGGATTTGAGATTCATGTACTTTTCTTAGCTAAAAATAGTCTTTTTACCTGGATATTCTCGGCCAAGCTCAACCCATAGTGTCATGCCGTTTCCTAATCCTGCCTTTCCTTTGACGAGCCCCCCTGCCATGATCAACTTAGTCTTCTTAACATGATTTTTTTTTCACATAAGCACACCGCTCATAAAACTATCGGTATCGAGCTGTCATTTGCACTGGGATTAGCCCTCGCCAGATCTGACTGACGACGTGCTTGTGTATCGGTTTCACGAGCCACTATTAATTTGACCCTTCACTCTCCTCATGATAGGCAGCACTCTCCTGCCAAATGTGCAAACACGTGAAAAAGGCATCATTTTGTCCTGTCTTTGTCACACTGGTGAGAGCTCTCTCAAGATATATTAGATAGCAATATCGAGTTGGGATACAAGCTAGGTACCCTCGAGACACTGTTGTACCCGATGGCATATGCCCGCTCAACGATGACATCACAGATCACGAGCACATGTTCATCGTTGAGGAATGGTACGTTTTAAGAAGAAAGTTAAACTCAAAAACAACCTTTCTAACATAAAGGATCCAGAGCAGAGGAGTAACAAAGCATGGTATCGAGATAGTCTCATAATCAAGAAGATGCAACTTAATCATCACCACAACCACCTGATGTTTCAGATTTGATGACCGTTTCCAACACTGAAGCTTTCAATGCATGTCAAAGGTCATGTGAATTATGAATAGCGGTATCTATGACTGCTTTGCATTTCCAAGAAAACGACCGCTGAGCCTGTGTCCGACCCTGTTATCGTTGCCTCGGATTAACTCTCTGTCATCAAGAGCAATCCCAGGAAGTAATATTGGGGCAACAGAAATGGTTTAGGCGTTATCTTCCAAGTAGATTCAGTACACATAGCTGCTGTGTCGCCGACGAATCAAAGTGGCATAGTGGCATCATACCACTGGCGAGGAAGTTGTACGCGAGACAAGGGCATGGCAAGTCGTGACTTCAGCCGGGTCCGATATCACCACCAAAGTCAAACGAAACACCAACTTGTGGAGAAAAAGAAGTCGGAGCGAAGTGGTTAGATAAGGCAACCAATTAGTATCGCGTGGTCTACGAATGAGCGTCCTAGGACAAGACGGCTACCCGCAGTCGTAGAAAGGCATTTTTAGTGTCTATGCTTCATCTCGTGTGATGCTATTCGGTTGTGACACACGACGCCTCTCACCATGCCGGCTTGGCTTGAGTTCAATTCTTGGGTTTACTGTGACTGGTGCTTGAGCTGTCAGGCTGGAATTGCTTTCTTAGGGAAGGGGCTAGGTACACTGCATCTGCAGGGTATATACGTGCATGGTGAGGTTCTGGATGAAAAGGAAGTGTGAAGTATCTCCAAGTCTCATCGGCCTCAGGGGTAATTTCATGTATTTGCTGGTAATTATCACAGTTGTCCACGATATCTTTGGTTGATGGTCTGTTCCACAGCTATCTGTCCGAAAGACCGCTATATCTCTTTTTAATATCGATAGATCTAGCATGATTGGTAGCAATGCGGCGTTTTGACGCACACAGCAGCATTAGGATTTGTCAGGCAGTTAACAGCCTATGATTCCTTGACTGGGATGGACTGCCACATCCAGTAATCCGTCTCTTTCGGTTGAGTCCGACCCCTACCAAAGGAGAGAAGCGATTCTATGACCATAGCCAGGCTTCGGGGAAGATCCTGTCCTCAAGATAGTCCAACTGACCCAAACAAAATGACAGACAAGTATCAATGATAGGGGAGCTGGCACCTGGTGAAGTGCAAGGAAGATTCTGCTATCGATTAGACTATCATTAAGATAGGTGATATTCAGCAGTCAAGGAAAAGGATGACCTGTATGTTCACTATCTGAAACACAGCATCGAACTCGGCCTAGGTCAAGAGGAGCAGGTTGTAGAGCACAACACACACAAGATATTGGACGATAAGGTTGAGAAACAAGCCTGACTGGAGAAGGAGATGTCAGGAGAAGAGTCCGGCATAGCTATGCCTTGACGCGAGGACAAGTACCATGCATGAAACTCCAAAGCTATACTGGGAATGTCTTTATTCTTGACACATCCATGTGGGTTGGTAAGACGATTGGAACCACTTAATAGACCGCTAGATCAGGGACCTTACAATGCAGATGAGCTGCAAAACAAACCACATTTTTCTGACATGAGGAATCACGGGGGCGCAGAGCTAAACAAAGGTTTCACCCTCGGCTTGTTAATCGAGGGAATTTCTCCATGGATAGCTCATGGTATCACAAAGGAAATTGGGACACACAAGAAAAGGAGATACAAAGCATTGCACTCAACGATGACAACATTCTTATCAAAGACAGCCTGGATACCATAAAATTTCTCTACCAAGAATTGGGATCAGATCACAAGATCGCGCGCCTATGCGACGGCACAGCATACGCCGTCAACCCAATCCTGGTTTGGAAGCTTGTATGCCGGTATGCCCGAATCCTTCCAGAAACCTGGGTGAAGTACCCGTACTTCTACCAACATACCCGTGCCGTGTGGGTAAAAAGACAGGTAAGAGAGCCCGACGGTTTAGGTACCTAGCTGATCTGCTTAGCTAAACCATGTCAAACGATGCGAGGATATGACAGCTTCGGAGTAGCTAGGTGAGAAAAGACAGGCAACCAGAGAAAGGATGACGATAGTAGGGTCACATCGTCCACACTCCAGACACAGACCCTAATCAGGCATCACAGGCAGGCAGCCGGTGTCAGAACGGTCAAAAATAAGGCTATGTAGTCTGGGATGCGTGGGGGAGAGCATGGGGGAGATCGGGAAAAGCAAGTCAGCAGCTGAGGCTGAGAAGCTCTTTGTTCAAATGGAGGAGTAGCCTGAATCCCCTTCCCTGCCTGGTGAAAGACGGCATAATTCTTTCGGGGGAGAGTGTCGTTACTGCCACCATCGTTTGGATGGAAAGCTGATCCGATTCATGGGAACTTGCGGGACAGGTAGGGTAACAGGATATGCAAGAGGGTGATACTTTGTGGCCTTGATTTTGCCACTCATGTGATCTCTCACGGTGACGTTCTCTCGCTGTTGTTCGTCAAGGCTGTTTGCGGTGAAATTGGACGTCGGAATTTGATGATATGCCTGTTCATTTAGAAACATGGAGCCGAAAGAGCAAGGCATTAACGAGCTACGCACGATACACCAGACAACTCTCGGAAGATGATCGAGAGTGATGCCCGAAGGCAGAAAACAAGCATTACC